CTATAAGATAACACTTAAGTAAACCATAGCTGCCAATGGAAATGCCACTAAATCCCTAACTACAACTGAAAACGCCACTGTTCAGCTGTGGGAGCGGCTGGTGCCACTAAAAGAGTCTCTACTGCTCCAGGGACAAGAAACCGGGTATGTAAGTAATCTTTATTTATATACCGCCTTTCAGAGACCAGAGTCACAAAGCAGTTTACAATTGTGGGCATTTGTCTCTCACTCCACACAGAGATGGCAGTGGGGTCGCCAGTACAGGAGGTGCATGCCAGACCTATTGTACATGTTTTTAGTGGTAGGGAAAACAGGAGTACCCGGAGGAAACCTACGCAGACATGGGGAGAACATGTCAGAAAGGCCCTGTTCCAGCCGGGATTTGAACCCAGGACCTTCTTGCTGAGAAGCGAGAGTGCTATCCACAGGTAAAACGGCTGACAAGACAGGTCACAAGAAGAGTCCATGACAACACTCCTTCCTCCACAACCAAATAAAGGAGCCAGATAATAATAAAACTAATCATGGATGGATGCTGCAAGCAATTTTACCTGTCTAAATTTAAAACCAGTTCAAATAAGCAACCCAGGGACCCCATTATCAAAAAGAATATGAAAAATGTACAGCTCGTTTTGGCACAATCAGATAGATTCGAGGATTTCTGTTAATCATGGACTCAAGACCCTAACCTTAGCCTAACCATACCCCAACTCAAATATATTCACAGCGTAAACTTCTTTTGTGTTTGCCAACATTGTATTTGTACATTGCAATGATTTTAATAGAAATACAGGAAATGTTTTGGCCTAAAAACCTTTGAATACAGGTCTATACAGGAATACTCAAAGATGCAAGAATCCAGCATAATGAAACTTTAGACAAGATAATGAAAAGGCCTAAATAACAAAATTTAAAGCTCTATTTCACATTTGTTCCGTTTAAGACTGTGCCCTGTAATCTTTCAAGTTGACTGAACAATTACAACACACTTTCCAGCTCAAACGATTATTACACCTTGCTGCTTAAACATTTTCAGTGCTTTTCCTTTTGAAGAGTGTCTGTGTTATTTCCCAAAGCCCTGCAGGGACCCTGGCTTACAAATCATCGTAAAATTAAATTTAAAGAACGGCGGGTCTTCTCTTATCTATGACTACACGAGCGGCATACAAATCAGGTCAGCATCACTCACCACTCTCAGCAAAGGGCTAATTGCTAATTGGGTTGGGGTAGCGCTGTAATGGAGAAATGCGGAGAATGAAATTGTGGAGGTGTTCTATATTTGGTATCCCAGTGACATGCCCAGAGCAGGAGGTTGTTGAAAAGACACAAGACTGTTTACATTAAGATACGTTTTGGTGTAATTTAGTGTGGCTTCAAAACAATGTCACGGTGTAAGAAGGTGCACGAGATAAGACCAGAGCCCTGAGGTAAGAACAAGATTCAAACATAACCCCATGAAAAGAGCTGGCGACGGGAGTCTATGCTACAACATGGAGCCTGACGGGATCACAGGAAAGATACTGTTAGAACAAGTATCCAGACCTGTGTTGTTCAGAGCTGGGCAAAATGTGGTAGGAGCAGTGGTAGTTTTAGACAGAAAAAGAAAGGCTAAATACTTAAAAATGACACACTAAAATACTGTGGCAATTTTGACCTATGGAACTCCCCCAGCCCCCCGCAGCAGCTGTGTTTGTTTAAGTCCCACACAGGCGCCACAGGGGTGGGGGCACTGTTTGCTAAACCTGATAAGGAAGACCAAAACCAAGACCAAAGTCCAGACTAGAGACCAGTCTCAGACCATATGACGTCATCGGACATGTTGATAAAACTGGGGGTAGGACATTTTGAGCCTCAGACCGAGCAGGGATAGATAGACACAGAACGTCGCAGAGCGCCTGGATTGTTCTCTGTACATTTTCAGGCCTGGAGGGATAGTTTAGAATGGCTCGGCTCACAGGGTTAGATTTTAGGAAAAGGAGCAGACATTAGTTAGGATAGGAGCTTGTTGAATTTCTGTATCTGATTGTAAAGATAAATTAAATACAGATGTTAAACTTGGAAATCTACGTCTTGTTTTTCTGCATCAAACTTTGAACACGTCAGTCAAATCTTTTTTGACAACATGCCCCATTCAATCTACTTGCAATTCCCCATGAAATTCAAGTCTTTTTTTGCTATTTGATAAAATAAACCATGAAAATGTGTAATAAAAAAATAAGTATTCACACTCAACACATTTAAATATTAATCGGAGAATACATTAGTCATATACATTCTTCATACAAGAGATTTTCAGAATTATCTGTTAATGTTTCCATGAAAAAAATACTATTTAATGTGACAAAAAGTGATCGCAGTAAACCATTCCCATTAAAAGAACATTTTAGGACACATTTGCAGAGGATCTGGTTGTTGATTTAGTATTAACGGCTTATTAAACGAGCGCGAGGTCTGTGCAAAGAAATATCAGTCCGGCTCGGTCTGTGCAAAAACACTGAAAAAAGGTCTGATATTTCTCTGAACAGAACGAGCAAGCGAGGTTAATAAATGTTTTATTATATGACTATTTTTAATTTATGCAAATATCGATCGGTTTCAACTAGCAAAAACACATGCAACCAAACTGTCAAATGGTGACATGAAGAACTTATCAGATGATTGAGGTTGCCCGCTGGTAAATTCTCAATCTCTTCTGTGTCTTTACCAATGCTTTTTCTTTTGTGAAGTATGTTCATGTCCGACTTGGTTTTCCTAATAGTGTTTTTACCTTTCTGGTCTGTAACGAAGTTGTCAATCTCTTCTTGACTGTTAGGAATTGTGTTTTCGTCCGGATAATAGAGTTCATTGGGAGAATGCTCCCAGTCGTCGCTCATTATTTCTTTTCTACCGAGGAAAGATATAATATTTAATACACGCTGCGGACCAATTGTCATGGTAACGGTCCGAGATTGGCCGTTACCATGACAATTGGTCCTCTGATTGGCTGATTTGCGAGTGATATTTTCCCATCTCGGACCGTTACCATGACAATTGGTTCGCAGCGCGTATCAAATTTTATATCTTTCCTCGGTAAAAAATAAATTAGCGACGACTGGAAGCATTCTCCAGTGAATTCTATTATCCGGACGAGTTCGAAGAGCCAGAGGAAGTAATAACAGCAAATAACGACGAAAACACAACTCCTAACAGTCAAGAAGAGATTGACAAATTCGTTACAGACCAGAAAGGTAAAAAAACAATTAGGAAAACCAAGTCGGACATGAACATACTTCACAAATATCTAAAAAGCATTGGTAAAGACACAGAAGAGATTGAGAACTTACCAGAGGGCGACCTCAATCATCTGATAAGCAAGTTCTTCATATCACGATTTGACAGTTTGGTTGCATGTGTTTTTGCTAGTTGAAACTGATCTATATTTGCATAGATTAAGAATAGCCACATAATAAAACATGTATTAACCTCGCGCTCGTTTAATAAGCCGTTAATATTTCGGTCACTCACCGCTCAGAATTCTTTGTTCAGTTTTCATGTATTTCGAGAGAGTTCTAGGTTGGAAGTTTGCTAGCCAAGTTGTTATTAGCCTGCATAGCCACGGGAAAGCATTTGGGAAATATTTTATTTGCAGTCATTAAATAAACTTTTTTGCCATTCATAAAAGTGGACAGCGGGTTGGTACTTATTTTTCCATAATGACCTGCCTACTATACAATAATCCCTTACATAATGTAAATATCCCTCATATGATACGTAGTAACATAAAAAATATCCATCCATCTTCTTCCATTTCTGGGTTGGGGAGGTAGCAGTCAGAGCTGCGAATACAGAGCCCCAGCCCCTCACTGATCCTCCTGCAGGTGGTGAGTCCACAGAAAGAGGGATGCTCTGTCGGTGAGACCATAGACGTGATCTTTCAGCGGGGGCTTCAGGCAAAGCGGGCTTAAGTGTCTTGCCCAAGGACACAATGACAACAGAAATCAGTGAGAGTCGGTGGAGAAGGTCTTGTGTATATTGTGAATACATTTAGTATTATATAAATATCAACGTTTAAAAAAGATAGAAGTGCTCATAAACAACCGGCACATCTTAAAGTGTTATTGTTTTGCGAGTATGGGATAGCGGGTGCATATAGGTTTGAGTATAATCCACTACTATAGCTCCAAACAAAAAATCAACATCCGTTTGCAAGAAGACCAGCAGGTGCATTTCCATGTGCATCACTTAATTTCTTTGGCCCAATTAATACTTAGATGGTATAATTGTGCCACTATGGTGTATTGATTAGGCTAAATATGTATTTTACAAACTAAGATAAAAAGCATTAAGTTGGAATTGCGAAACCAGGTCAAAGAGGCTCAGAGGAACACCTCTGTTCTCACTCTGACGGAAACTATAATAGCTGCTCAAAAATAACTACGGAACACAGCCCCATTATCCAAGAGACAAAGACCATCTATAATTCGCTTGAACATCTACTTCAAGAATATAGAGTCAACATTTTCATCCATCAAATTAAGAATATGGGAACAGCAGAGAAATTGCTTTGTAAACAAAATGATAGATTCTGCAGCTCTGGTTTATATTAATAGTTTATAATGCACTGCAGAGTTGATCTGTGTACACAAACAGGAAGGCTCCTGGAGAGGCTCCATAGAGCCATAAGCGGATGTTAATGAGGCCAATGAGCGGACCTCTCCATCACTGCGGGCTCAGGCACTGAGAGGTGAATCTGCTGCAGTGCTGTCATGCACGCGCAGACGTACCGGTCCAATACGCAGTCCATACTGCAGACCGAGAGCGCGTTCCAAATCATCCACCCAATTGTGCGCGCTCCCTACAACTTGGAAAAAAGAGACTGAAGGTCACTACACACAAAAGCGCTCGCGCTGCGGTCCAATATAGCGCATGCGCAGAGCCAGAGGACTGCTTCACAGACCGCAGTGTTGCCTGGCAGCGGACACATACGGGACGTGAACTGCCCCATAAGCCGTTAGTACGAGATGGAGGACACGGTGGTGAACGGGAAAGTCCAGCAGAGTGACGAGGACATCCATCTGCACCAGCAGAGCGAGGAAGAAGAAGACGATGAAGAGGAGCCGCTGCGTCTAAGCCGCTTGAGTGAAAACACGAGACTGGCCACGCGTTACGCGGTGCGCATCTTCAGAGAGTTCTTGAGCGAAAAGGCGCACAACCCGGACTTTGAGACTTTAGACAAAGATGCTCTGTGCGCGCTTCTTTGCTCCTTTTACGCGGAGGCACGCTCCAAAAGCGGCCAGTTTTACAGTAAATCCTCTTTGATCAGTATCCGCAGCTCTCTGAACCGGTACCTGAACGAACCTCCCTACTGTCGCACTCTGGACCTCACCAAGGACCCGGAGCTGCGCAGTGCCAACCTGGCCCTAGCAGAGGTGCTGAGGCGGCTGGAGGAGCAGGGAGCAGGTCCAGTGGTCCAGAAACAAGCCATCACTAGAGCAGATCTACGCAGGCTATACGAGTCCCCGGTGTTCCACGCAGAGACACCGTTTGGACTGCTCAACAAAGTCTGGTTCGAGACATGCATGTACTTCTGCACGCGCGGGCGGGAGAACCAGCGCGAGTTGGAAGAGGACTCGTTTGGCGTCACGGTGGACGAGGACGGCAGGAGGTTCGTGTATCTTAAGGCTCTCGGGCACAAGTCCCGCAGCGGTGCGTGGGGAAAGCGGAGAGACACGGAGGAGGACACGCGCCCGCGCATGTATGAGACGGGCACTCCCTTGTGCCCATACGCGAGCTTCGTCCGGTATGTTTCCAAGCGGAACCCGATGTGCAACGCATTCTTCCAGCGCCCGCGGGACCACTGCTGCTACAGTGATGCCACGTGGTTTGAGAACAAGGCCATTGGCAAAAACCTGCTGGGCACGCGCATGCAGATGTTGTCACGCGCAGCCAAACTCTCCAAAACGTACACCAACCACTGCATCGGCGCCGTGTCCATAGCAACGCTTAACAGCATCGTCGGCGCGAGGACGCTGTGTGTAACCAAGGGAACAATGAACGGCCACGTGCAGCCACAGCAGCTCGTGGTGTCAGTGGAGAGAGGAGAGTCTCCCAAACCAAAAAGGCTGTGCATGAGACAAGCACACAGTGACAGCACAGTGGAAGTGCACCAGCAACCCTTTACTGAACAGCCCACACACCTGCCTGCTCACGAGACCCCACAGGTAAGAGTGTTACTGGATCCTTTTCATGCAACAAGATTTATCCTTCAAATCAGGAACAACTATTTGCATGAAACAGATGAACAGGAATGATTCTGACCAAGAGTCTGCTGCTATAGGGTTCACCAAAACAATCATCCTCTTGAATTATAGCTCCCTGTACAGAGCAGTGTTCAATGAAGCAGCAGATATTTGTCAATAATCCAACACTTGTTTGTTATGATGCTGCACTGCCTCCAGACAGTGTCCTCATTCACCCCCCTCTGTTGCCAATGGTAACAGATGCTGACCTACTGAACGGTGGAGACCAAGCCCTATAAACATTTTAAATGGACAGTATACCCAGAAAGTTTACCCAGTCTTTGGGTTATGGGCACGAGAAAAAAACTTTATATACATTTGTCGGCTGTATTTCATTATTTTGTTTCTGGTGTGGAACAGAGTTGAACACTTCTGGGGGAGGGACAGAAGATTAGAGCAGAGCTGACAGTAGCCCAGAGCTTGTGTGAGAGTTTGGAAAGTCAGGGCCTGGGTGGTCGAGCTCTTGCCTTCAGGGTTTGGAACAGTATTGAGCAGCATTGAACTTTACTTTACTTATCTTTGCAATAACTTCAATAAGGCCAGAATATGCAATATAGAACCACATGTGTCCACTTTCACCTTAGTCACCTTGTTGCTAACTGCTAACATGTACAGATGTATACATAAAACTATTTATTTATTAGTTATTGTTCATTTATCTTGAGCTGTGTGGTCCTCATTCTTATACTGTCCTGTAACTGGTGATGAAACACTGAAGTTTCCCCAATGTGGAACGAATAAAAGATCTGTTTATCTTAAATGCTATTTGTACATGAGAATTTCTGTGTAATTTATTTTATTTCATTTGTGTCCCATTTATATTTATAGCAGCAGGTTGTCCGGAGCAGTAGTGACCCTCCTCAAACCCCTGCCTCTCCAGTTTCCGCTCCGGTTTCTGCTCCAGGACTAACTGGGATCCCCACCGCGGCAAAACTTTCCAAAAGTACTGCCCCCGTCCACATTGATGTAGGGGGACACATGTACACCAGTAGCTTGGCAACGCTCACAAAGTACCCAGACTCAAGGTAGTCCACATGCAATACGTTTACTTGTTTGCATTGTTTTTTGTTTTTTATATATCCTACTTAAATTGTATTGAAATCAATTCCTTACATTTTGAATAGTAACTGTATTCCGATACATATTGGTACATGGAATACTGTATGTACCAGGACTGTACACAATCCACGTAAACTGGTTTCGTGGGGCAATATTTTGAACAGTTTCTGATAATCATTAAATTATGTGATTTGAATTTCACTATAAACAGCATGAAGAGTGCATCCATGCTAACACAATATTTTAACAGGGCTTTTCAACAAAGGTAGTTGTCTTAGTCAATTAGCTTGGAGCTAAATTAGCTAAATCTTCATTTTTACTGCACAAAAAATGCAGTTTTCAGACATTTCGACTACTGGATAAAGTCGAAAATGTTTCTATCCTGAAATCTTACTTATGAATGTGTTTTATTCTGCAATGCATCACTCCTGAACAAATTAGGGATTACACTGCTTTGTTCAGAGAGATGCAACAGTGTGCGGACCTTTATTAAAAAACATTTGTCCTTTCTTTTTGTGTTAGGATCGGCCGCCTCTTTGACGGGACAGAGCCCATCGTCCTGGACAGTTTAAAACAGCATTATTTCATCGATCGAGACGGGCCCATGTTTCGTTACATCCTAAACTTTCTGCGTACTTCCAAATTGCTGCTGCCTGACGACTTCAAAGTGAGTTTCTTCAACTACCAGAAAGTTGCTGCAATATTATGCATTTTGCTACCATTCTAAATTAGTAAAAAATCATCTAGGGAAGGAAGAAAAAAAACTAGAACAATCACATATTACATAAGTAGACAGACCTCATTTCTAACTTCTATGACAACCAAAAGTGTGCGCTATAAAAATTATTTGCAATACTTTTATTTTAAAAGTCAGAAAACAGATGTAGAAATGATGATATATCCTTACTTTATGACTGTGTACCAGGGTTGAGACAGAAGCATTTTAGACAAAATAAGCAGAGGGAAGTGTTTGTGGCAGCAGTTCCTGGTATTAGTGTTCCAGGAGGTCTAAAAACATCGACCTATGTACTGATCTGGTCTTATAGTTTAACACTGAGCCCTGGTCACTAACACAAGTTTTCCAGTAAAAAATCCTGTTTTCAACTACATTAGTCATCTGCCAAATAAGTGTACAGCATCACTCCAGTGTAGTATGTGTAACCTGAACCTTTGTGCAGTGAGTTAAAACATGAATCAAACTGAGAAAACATACGATTGCCTAGGGGACCCCAAACTTTTGAACAAGTATGAACAGCATAATGTATGAAAAAAAAAAATACACAAGATGCAAAACCTAAGTCTTGCTCTCCTCACCTGTGTGTTGTCAGGAGTTCTCGGTGCTGTACGAGGAGGCCCGTTTCTTTGAGCTTAGCCCTCTGCTTGCGGAGTTGGATGTCTGGAGGGCTCAGCGGCAGAAGGCACAGTTGTGGGTGGACTGTGCTCTGGTCCACGTGAGTCCCGGTGTGGAGGAGCGCGTCAGCCTTACTGTGCAGAGAGAGGTGCTGCAGGAGGTGTTTCCCGAGCTGCTGGACGTCCTGAGAGGGTCCCCACACGACACCTGGAACCACAGTGCCACACACGTCGTGAGGTTTCCACTGAGCACGTACAGTCAGCTCACCTCCGTGCAGGTACACACCTCTCGGCTCACTCCAGCCTCACTTCACAAATCTACAATAGATAGATAATAATCAGATGTCCACATTTGATGAGATTTTTTTTTTTAACGCAGAGTAGAAAAAGTAATTACTTTCAAATAGTAAACCAATTCTAACCAATTGCTACAGCCAACCCCCTTTCCAAACCTTGTATATTGATTGCATTATTCTGTTGTCAAATTATGTTAATGCTGGTTATTGGAATAACATAAATGAAATGAAAATGAAATGTGATACCAGACGATAAAATTTTTTCTCATGTTTAATTTTTTATTAATCATATCCGTTACACATTTTTAAAGGGTCATTTAAATGTGAATTGATTTTTTTTCCTTCTAATGATTCCTTTTTAAATCAAGTGGTTTACTTATGTTGATAGCCATGTTAATCTTGTGGGAATTCATCTGCTATGGAACTGGCGTCACAGTCGTCTCATCAAATCAGAGGCTGATCTGGGCTTTTAAAATGTCGCCAAAAATGTATGTTTTAATGTGAACACACCCCTATTATCTAATACACAATATATTCACAACTGTGTGTGTGTTTTAGCATTTTGTCTTGAATTATGTTATTGTTTTATGTCACTTTGCTGTATCTGTCATTTGGTGCAAGTTTGAAGACCCCCACAAAAACAAAAATTTTAGAATTGAAGAATGGGTCAAATGTAAGGGACTAATTCCAATGAGGTGTTAACTAATAATCACACATGAGATATGTATCTAGAGTCTGAGGTGTAAAGATGTGGCATTAAACATTTTGTCGAAAAGAAAAATAAAAGGAATAAATTGGTATTTTGAATTGAGGTTATACACTCACCGGCCACACCTGGGTTGGACCCCTTTTTGCTTTCAGAACGGTCTTAAATCTTTGTGGCATAGATTCAATAAGGTACTGGACACAATCCTCAGTTTGGTCCATACTGACATGATAGCATCACACAGTTGCTGCAGATTTGTCGGCTGCACATCCATGATGCGAATCTCCCTTTCCACCAGGTCCCAAAGGTTCTCTATTGGATTGAGAGCTGGTGACTGTGGAGGCCATTTGAGTACAATGAACTGATTATCATGTTCAATATTCAATTGAATTCAACTTTGTTACAGACTCTAGGTCCAATTTAAAAACAGACAAACAAAAATAACAGTTATGACTTTAAAAGACAGCCATACCGATAGCTCCACATCTTGGAATGAAATCAAAATCATATAGCATCCTGCACTGTCTGTAAATGTCACTGACATCAGTCATTTCTGCAGTGATGACATATCCAAGGTGTTTTGTTTTTGTTGTTACATTGAAAACAACATTATCAAGGCAAAGTCAGGACAAATCATGAGCCTGTCCTCTTCGGTCCGACAGATTATGACCATAGTGTTATGAGGTTCCACACGGCTCATTGTTAGGACCACTAACATTTGTCATACACTCATCTCCTCCACAGGTTCTGGAGAGTTTTCAGAGAAGGGGCTTCTGGATCAGCGGGTCATGTGGAGGAGGAGTTGACTCATCCCAGTTCAGTGACTACATCCTACGCAGAGACGGCCATGACGGGATCCAATTAGTCACTGTGAAGCAGGAACAAGACTGAACCCGTATTAATATAATAACACAGTAGTTTGTGGTTTGGGGAGAGGGTTGAAAGTTTTTAGGGAATCCTAACAGTTGAAACTCAGTGTCGTATTCATCACATTGATGGAAATTTTCATAAGCCACATTGGAAAAAGTATGGGCTTTATTGTGGACTAATCAAACTGCAATGGATAATCTTAAGCACTGATCTCTGAAATATTCTCATAAATTCATCATGGGTATGTAATGTAAACACTCATAATTTTGCAGTTTGTAAGTGATTTAATCACTTGCTGCACAAGAGAGCTGGGACGAACTTGTAAACTCAGACACATTTTCTTACGTCCAAAATACTGTCAGCACTTTATAGAATAAAGAAGTGCATTACAATGCACTTGTACACATTTTGCACAGTACCTTTGAATGAATAAAAAATATTCAGTTGTGAGTTTTGAGTTGAAAGTGCTTTTAATGAAAACAAAACAATAACTCAAAGAACACTACACACCTCCACTTATATGACTTAGTAGAATACTTTTTTTATGACAAAAGCAGTGAAAAGTGTGAGCAATAACAAATAAATTAGTCAAGAAAATGTAAATAATATACATTTGAACACACAAAAATAAAGAACATTTTTATATTTGTATAGTTTGTTGTGGTGGGACCAGGCCTTACATCCCTACCCCACAGGTCAGTCGCTGGTTCACAACATGGCTCTGTAGAGAGTGAGGGAGTGCCGGAGGAGGCGGTCCTGCTCCATACACTGCACCAGGTCTCTCAGGATGATCCGGGTCACTCTTGGGATACTGGGACGGGGCAGCACACAAACCTAAAGCACCCAAACATATTATCCTAGAAGCACCCGGAGTTAACCTACGCAGACACAGCGAGAACATGCATCTGGTTCCTTCAGTACAGACCTGACCATCCAGCTCCAAAGGCCTCTTCTTCCGGGGGCCAATTGCAGCCAGAGCCGCGAGGTTAGCTTCCCTCTGCTGGAGCTCTGCCTGCTCCAATAGCTGCAACTGAAAATGCAACGCACCACAATTTCCAAGGACATACCGTACAAACAACCAACCTAGTTTCTTTATTTTGTATGAGATTGATATCGAGTCTACTTCGGAACGTGCTGGAAACGGCAGCAAGACCTAAGTAGCCCTGAAACAGTTATTTTGTGTTATTTTTCTTGCTTTTTTTAACCTGTAAATGTTCCTGCAGTACAGTGTTTATAGTTCAAAACTGATATAGACCAGAGCAGAGAGGATTCACAGACTGAACCAAGTAGATCAAGCTGAAATCCACAGGAAGATTTTTTTTCTCTGGAGCAGAGAAAATGGTCCGAACCAAGCAGCTACACCACCTCTGCTGCTGTAACCTGTCCTGCTCCACCTAGCGGCTCCTACAGGGATTAATAAAGTACATATATCCATCTATTGATAAGTACTAAATATGTTACAGATCACAATATAAAAGGCAGAAGCTAATTATGTATTTGTTTAATTTTTGCTTTGATTTGCTTAGTAGATATTTTAGATGGTGGAGTGTAGGTAGAAGAAGGTGGAGGAGGATGAACCACGCTTCTTTAAATAGGACAAACTCTGTGCTTTCATCTGCTTCACACCTCTTCCTCACCTCAGGCTCCACAGACACACACAAACAAGCATTTTACAATAGCCAAGATAGTCTTTGAACTGCAAGCCAAGCCAGACTTAAAACATTTTCATTATAAAATGTTGCTTGGCAGAAATAATTTATCAGAAAAGGATAGAAAAAAATACATGTTGACAAAGCACCTCTTTGGCCCTTTGCTTTAGCAGAATCATCTCAGGGTCTTCAAAATGACAGCGTCTCTGTGGACAAAGACATATTAAGGAGTTTTAGTTTGTTTTATTTTGGGTAATTCCTGATTGAGGCATGCACATAATACAGGATTCACGATTCACAGCAATGTGTAATATCATGCGTAATACAATAGACATTTTCTTTTATGCTCGGACCCTCACTTTGATTCTGCGAACTGGCAATTGAAACAAACTAATACCCAGAGGTCTACTAAATGTTTAGTGGCAGCTCAAGCAAAATAATTAGTATTTGTTTATTTGGTTGGAACAGTACATGTTAATGAACACATCACTCCGGATTGTAGCCATGGGATAAATTGCAGTCGATGTCCCACATTTGCACTGACAAACTCACACTCATTCACCCTGAACTATTGTACATGTTTTTAGTGGTAGGGGAAACCGGAGTACCCGGAGGAAACCTCTGCAGACATGGGGAGAACATGCGAACTCCACTCAAAAAGGCCTTTTCGACTGGGATTCAAACCCAGAACCTTCTCGCTGAGAAGCGAGAGTGCTACCCGCTCAGCCTTAACACGCTATCGTGATAAAAATATTACTAAATCACAAAACAACTTTTTCCAATGCTTACCCGGGCCAGCCGCAGCATTCTCTCCCGCTCCTCTTCATCTTTCCTCTTCTTCCTCAAAGTCTCCACATCCTCAAGAAACTTCAGCTGTGATCGCACATCACTCACTTTGGAGTAAAACCAGTCGTCCTGGAAACATACCAGTACAAAAGTTTAGACAAAGAAATGTAAGGCTAATCTAGTGGTACCACTTGTTTAGAGGGAGAGGCATCTTTCAGGTACCCAGGGGTCAAACTCAGAACTTGTCTACAAGGTCTACATAATGTTCCTTATGGGGAGGAACATTATATTATGCCCATATTTGGCATCCAGTCAATTTGGTTTTCATTATTTGTCTTTTATTGTGCAAGTTAATTTACCAAATTAATTCACTTGAATTTTGGATTTTTCTGAATTAAATGAGAACACGCTTGGACTGAACCAAGCAAGCTTGTTATTGCAGTATAATTTTTATTTGCATGTGTTTAAAGAAAATGTTCTTGAGATAATTAACTTAAAATGTTAATATGTAACGATTGTCCTTATAAACCTATTACCATCAACGTTTGAAAGTTATTAATAATACTTACCCTCACATACTCCTAGGGGTCACAATGTTCGTACCTTGACAAGGTTCTTGCGGTGTTGGGCCATCACAGAGAGTTTCTCCAGTAAAGTCCGCAAAAACTCCTGAGTGGCATGAGAGACCAGTGCCCCCACCTCTGGACCCACCTCATTGACTCCAACCAGCTTACCTGGGACAAGGAACATAATCACACTAGCATTACTAAACAATACAAGGATAAAATAAAATAGTAACACAGAGGATTTCAAGCTTTTGTATTGTCAAAAAATGAAGGCAGAGGCATCACCAATCTTTGTGACCTTCAGTTTATTTTCCACTTTTTACAGATCAAAGGAAGAAAATCTTTTTTTATATGGTGTGTGTGTATCAATACGCATAAGAAAAGAGAGGCCATCACTTGAGATATTAATGATACAGTGCCTTGCAAAAGTATCATTACTTTTGCAAGTATAACATTTCGCCACATTGTTGTGGAGAAGTTTAAAAGCCGGATTTGGATACAAAAAGATTTTCCAAGCTTCAAACATCTCAAGGAGCACTGTGCAAACAATTATATTGAAATGGAAGGAGTATCAGACCACTGCAAATCTACCAAGACCCGGCCGTCCCTCCAAACTTTCATCTCAAACAAGGAGAAGACTGATCAGAGATGCCGCCAAGAGGCCCATGATCAGGGCTGGACTGGGACAAAAAAACGGCCCGGGCATTTTTTCCTTTTTAGCGGCCCAGGCAACTCAAAAGGTTCAAGGAACCATATTTGACAAAAAACTAAAAACAGCGTTGTATAAGGCTACCTTAGCTACATTAGCTATATTAGCTATATTAGCCTAATATCTAAATGACAAAGTAAAGGCTACAAACACATAAAAACCATTCATGATTATTAAACGTTCATTGCAGCGTGTCCTGGAGAGAATGACGCACCACGTGACAACTCTGCTTTAACTTTAACTTCCATTTTTTTGCCTTCTTGCAATTGTACAAATACAGTAAATAAATCTGCTTTTTGGCTCCGAGTTCACCTGCATCACTGTCTGTTCATATCCATCACAGGCTGAAGTTTGCTGGAGCTGAATGTGCTTAATGGCCTTTTCTTTCACCGTCTTTGAGAAGGTATTTGAAGTCTGAAAATAGGTGCTCTGACTTTATGATGAATGAATCTTTCAGTGAACAATGTTTAAAGCTTCATTGTTCCTCCTGTTGCAACAAAACTTTTCATTACTTCGCAAACATGAAGCAGTCCTTCCTCATTGACTGAAAGCAAATGTTCATTTTCATTCTTAGTCCAGTCTTATCGACTCTCTCTCTTTATCTCTGGGATCCATGCGCACACACAGTCTATGATGCGCACACGCCGGTTTGTTTACAGCAGCGGCCGCCTGGCACGGGCCGCGTCACAGGATATGACGCACTACGTTGACAGAAATGCTAAAATTGAATATTACTTATACAAGTTTTTGCAGCATTAAAAAACGTTAAGAATGTTTTTCCTCCTACAGAAACCACATTGAAACTAGAAATAAAATATAGCCCTCACACTCCATTTTCAGACATTTTTGAAAAGGCTCCAGGAGCCACTTTAGGGGCACTAAAGGTTGCCGACCCCTGGTTTATACAGTATGTGGAAGCAAATACTGTGTAGAGGATCAGGATGTCTGCAGTTTCAACAATAAAATAAAGTACAATAGTCTACATTAAACAGAGTAATAAACATGTCTCAGAGTGAGGGAGGTGGGCACAGACAACACTATTGTTTGTTACAGGGATGAGAATTGGTAAAAATTTCTGAAATGCCTATTGTCAGCCATTGGCTGGCTCTAAATCTGTTTAATCTGTTCACAACATTTTACTTTTGGGCTCAAACATGAACTTTTAACGCAATGGAAAATTTAGGTACCGGAGCTTTAATTTAGAGGAGAGGGGAGACGCGGACTGTTTTCTGCAGCGGTGCATTTATTGGGTGCACAAATTACGAAAAGACATGCATGGTCCTGTGCGCGTTTATGGTCTTGGGTACATGGTCACGTTGTGGCTACGTGCTCACCGTGTTGTGTTGTGAGCGGTTCCCGGTGAGCCGTTCCTGCGTCCAGCTCAGAGCCGCTGGATGCGGGAACACTGCGGCCGCTGAGGTGGTGGAATCCCGTTCAAGTACATGCAGCAGGTGCCCCGCGGACACGCGCGCCCCCTCGAACATTTCTCAACGGATTTACACTTTTCACAAACATGTGTTTTGTATGAGGCAGACAGACCGGCCCAAATATGGGCATCGGCCCTTCGGGCATTGCCCGGTACGCCCGATGGCCAGTCCAGCCCTGCCCATGATCACTCTGGATGAACTGCAGATAACTACAGCTGAGGTGGGAGAGTCTGTCCATAGGACAACAATCAGTCGTGCACTGCACAAATCTGGCCTTTGTGGAAGAGTGGCAAGAAGAAAGCCATTTCTCAAAGATATTCATAAAAAGTTTGCCACAAGCCACCTGGGAGACACACCAAACATGTGGAAGAAGGTGCTCTGGTCAGATGAAACCAAAATCGAACTTTTTGGCCACAATGCAAAACGACATGTTTGGCGTAAAAGCAACACAGCTCATCACCCTGAACACACCATCCCCACTGTCAAACATGGTGGCAGCATCATGGTTTGGGCCTGCTTTTCTTCAGCAGGGACAGGGAAGATGGCTAAAATTGATGGGAAGATGGATGGAGCCAAATACAGGACCATTCTGGATGAAAACCTGTTGGAGTCTGCAAAAGACCTGAGACTGGGACGGAGATTTATCTTCCAACAGGACAATGATCCAAAACATAAAGCCAAATCTACAATGGAATCTCCACTTCCTCCTCCGTCGAGCAAAAACGTGTCTTAGTCCGCTCCTGCTTCTGAACGGCTTGCTATCTCCTGTTTTTGTCTTTTTTCCTGGAGTTTTGCCACAGACAACTTTAACAGAATGGAAATGATTAACTGGTCCCTCAACGCAATTGATTCTATCTTTTCAACACGTAAGCGTGGGTCTGGAGAGCCCGTGTGCCCGGACGGGACTTCACCGGCGGGGTATACTCTTGACAGCTGGAACAAGTTTCAGCCCCTCTGTCTGTCGACCCTGTCCATTGAAGATTCGGAAGACGTATATATCTTTGGCATTTTGGTGGTGGGAATCCTCCTGTTTGGGTTTGGAGCGATCCTCTTCTACCATAAATTCGGAGGCATGGCAGTTCGCAAGATTCACGACCTGCTGGCCGAAAAAATTGATGGGATGTACAAGGAGCTAAGCCGCGTCGTGGTTGAGAGTGCCGTGTCTGGACAAAGGAGAGTGGTTTTGGTGGAACAGTTGATCAAAGACCTCGCAGCTCGTTCACTCGATGGGCATAAAACTCTGGAATTGAGATTGAATGACATTGTTTGTCAGGCTTGAACTCTCTGACCCGGCTTGGATTTGCCCCTGTGTACGGAGGTCTGAGGGCGCCGTAATTCGGTTTAATTGGAATTAATAGAATATCCGCCTGCTTTTGATGCTACATTGCATATAATATTGTCCCTCTCAGGCGATGTGTTTTTCTCCTGCTGTGTCTTCTCTCCACTCTTATCTCACATTCCTCGACCAAGGCCATAAACAAGGTCCCACAATCTACAACAACTCACACTATTTCAGTCTCCAGCAAGGATCCCTCAACCCCGCCTCCCTCTACCTATCCATCTTGCTCCCTCCCTCCCCTCCATTCCTCATTGTTTTCCTACTCACCCCCTCCCTGATCCCGCCCCCCTCTGACAGCTACATTGGGCCGGCCGCCGGAGGTGCTCATCCCGAGAAAAAAATCCGTGGTTTATAAAAAGCACAATGTGTCTATCCAATTGTCTGTGAACTGTATGTTATTGCTCTCTGCTGTTTCTTGCTGCACACAGCGCCGCAAATGGCGAAGTGGCACGCTCTCTGCCAAGACAATTTCCAAGTGGTAACTTTGTTACTCACGTGGCAATAAAAATGATTCTGATTCTGATTCACAAATAGACGTATCCAGGTGTTAGAATTGCCAAGTCAAAGTCCAGACCTGAATCCAATCGAGAATCTGTGGAAAGAGCTGAAGACTGCTGTTCACAAACGCTCTCCATCCAACCTCACTGAGCTCGAGCTGTTTTGCAAGGATGAATGGGCAAGAATTCCAGTCTCTCAATGTGCAAAACTGATAAGAGACATACCCCAAGCGACTTGCAGCTGTAATTGCAGCAAAAGGTGGCGCTACAAAGTATTAGAGCAAGGGGGCCGAATAATATTGCACGCCCCACTTTTCAGTTTTTTATTTGTTAAAAAAGTTAAAATTATCCAATAAATTTCGTTCCACTTCACGATTGTGTCCCACTTGTTGATTCTTGACAAAAAAAATAATTTTTATATCTTTATGTTTGAAGCCTGAAATGTTGAAAGGTTCAAGGGGGCCGAATACTTTCGCAATGCACTGTATATGCATAAAGTAGCATTATGTAATATTTGCATGTCAAGTCATCATTAAATGGCCCCAATATTTCATGCTCCTTTCGAATACATCTTTAACTGATAACAATAGTTCAGCCGAGTGCATACTGGTTGCCTCGCTTCTGTCAGTGTGCCCCAGGGCAGCTGTGGCTACAGTAGTAGTTTATCACCACCGTGTTTGGAGTGAATGAATAATGACACATGTGAAGCGTCTTTGAGTGTCCAAAAAAGCGCTATATAAAACCGATGCATTATTATTATTATATATTATCAAAATTTGTTTTACGACCCGTAAAAGTTGTTATTGTTTTCATTTCGATATCCCACCCGCCGCTGTTTCGCCAGTCAGGAAGTCCATGATCCGGGTTGCCAGAACTCCCCACGGCTAGCTAATCTCACTGGTAAAATAACATGTGGCCGCAAAACTAAAAAAGGTCTTATTAAATCATTAATGACAAAATCTTAAATCATTAATGACAAAACAAAGACTAAATTGAGAATTTAGTAAAAGATGGAATGGAGCATCACCCATTTGAAGCAATTTGGTGAGCAGTGCATTTGGGGCGAGGAAAGGCTGGTCGTGGCAAGACTGGACCACAGCGCCGACTTGAGTGGTGAGAATCCGGGCGTTTTCCTCCCTCAGATTTACTCCAGCCATAGAGGCCACGTCATTTATGTCATCGTCTTCTCTGGAATAAAAGGGCCCAAAAACAAAAAAGGTAAAAAGTAAATGCCAAAACAATTGAAATTATACAAGCGTTACTTATAGGTTCCAGCGACACTTTTGGATGTCTGATGAGGCTGCTCATAACACTCTCTCATTGGTAGTTTCCCTGAAAAGAAACAGCATGAGTTAAAAATAAAGATGATATATATAATAAAGACTAAAACACATTAGTTTTTTCTGCACCCAATCCAGATTTAAAAATGAATGTAATCACTATTAAACGTTTTATCAGACAGTGCAGGTTTTTAGGGACTTTTCAGCTTTTTACCACTTTGTTCCCTCGTCAAAAACAGTCATGAAGTTGTTTATTAGATCAATACCAGGAACTTTTGGCCCCTTCTGTCGCTCCTGCCACCGCTCTGTATTAGTATGACGTCATTGTACCATATTGACATCATACTGCTCTGAGTATTGCTCATAACATTAACATACCATCTTTGTTTATTTTTATTTTTTTAACAAAAAAAGGAATTCCACTACTTCCTCTGGTGGTACCACAAGGATTGGGCAGGGCATGTTTTAGCCATGATACTTGTTTCACCATATATTTTCTCTTGAATATATTATTTTAAAATATTTCTAGTTTTATTTTTTCCCATTTTCTCCAAAAATGACCATGTAAAAACCATTAAAAACTACTCCAAAATACATATTTCTTTATAAAACACATCAGATACTGAATTTACTAGCAACAACATACATTCATTGCATATTGTTTCAAACAGAACTTTAATTCAAAAACTAGTAAATCCACATGTTATAGTTATACAGCCCAAACTGGAAAAAAAATACCCTAGCTACCTGTGTAGTTCCTCGCAGACTGCAGTCCAGTTGTCTTTGGGACAAGTTTGCTTTGAGGTTGAGAAAGCCATGCTTGACCAGGCCTGGGAGGAGGCATCATCTATGTTCATATAGAAAAAGTGAAGTCAGAAACATTACAATCATTACATCAACATTCTCGGTGTGCACCTGCTTTGCATTGTCAGTCGCAGATTTGGGGACCAGAGTGGCTTTACATGAGGCCTGCTGAATAAAGAGCTGTGGATCTGGAGTCAACACTCTAACTGCCGGGAGACTTTTCTGGTGATAAAATAATAATGTTATAATGTGGTGTATGTCCAGATAAACAGGGAACATTTTAATATTACTTGAATCACTATAATCAGATCATCCCTCCCCTCACAGCATCTTTGTAAAAATAGCAGCGACAACATGATTGCTAGTAAACACATTAAAGTGAAGAGGATGGAACTAGGGTAATCAAACAGTACTTTCACCTTCAGAAACGGCACGAGACAGGGTTGCGGCGTTGACTTTAGCTCACAGTAGAGCTTCTCAGTAAACTCCTCTGCATCCAACTTCCCTTCCTACAAACCACATTGTCGTAGCATCATATTCAAACAATAAACACACACACATTTGAATTCATCCAGACGACAGTTTATTATTTGCCTGTTTCTGGTGGAATGACGGCCATTTCAAATATAAATAATAGTCTTGCACAGTTTGTGAAGAGAAAATGTACAAAAAAACTTAGCATTTGATTGGAAACAAAAAGTCAAACTAATGAAATTCTTTTTTTACACCCAAATTACTCACTTTTGTCATTTCGAATTTGAGATTGTCAAAATATATTTTCTCTGTGCATTGGATGAGTTTTGGGGCAATATGCCTCTCAAGCTAGAAAAGTAAAGTCTAAACTGTCTTATGCACTTTAGTGATGGATAAATACCAGCAGAATTTTGACCAGTCCTCGGACGTTGTTGGCCATGATTTCAGATCTGGAGTCGCTCGAAGCAAGTTTGATGAGAGTCACCAAGAAGTTCTTACACTTTTTTACACTTTCTAATGTTTCCTGAAAAAGTAAAAAGTGATAAAAGTCTTTATTCTACTCAGATTGTCTATTCCCTATTGTGCCCTTGTACTCACCTGACTGAAAGCTGGTGTGGCTGCCTTCTTCGGCTCTGTGACTGAAGTCAGGATCCGCGTCTGGATTGGTGGCTGTGCGATCAGGGCTTTGGGAGGAACACCGACTACCTGCGAGATTACAATGTACAATAATTCACCAGATATTAATAATAAAAAATATAATAGTTGTGTTTGGATTATTAACATTTATGGACATTGGTAATCCGACCCTTATGGCGAACCGACAACTTTGTAAAGTCGTCTGAGATAAATACTGCTCTGATTTAGGGCTATACAAAAATAAATGTAATTGAATTGCAGCTGTTGAAGTCTCTCAAACTGCTATATTGATAAAACTATTTGATCATTCTGTGCACAGTAGCCACAGCTGCCCTAGGGTAGACTGAAGCGAGGTAGCCATTTTGTGTCATTTGTCTCTCTGACTACTCTCCACATTCTTGGTAGGTTTTGGTCGGTGGGGGGAACACACCCAAACAAGGATAAACATGCAAACTCCACACAGACCCAGGATCAAACCCACAGCCTTCTTGCTGTGAAGAATAAGTGCTAACCACTCAGCCACTGTTTGAAACTAATTGCATGAATGAATGTTAAAGATGTCGTACCTTTACCAGAGCAGTCTTTTGCATGGGTGATGACTGGTAGTTAGGTGGAGCTGCCATTCGGATCATCGTCACCTTGTCTTTTGACTGGCTTACTGAAGGAGTCGGCTGCATTGAAGATAAATAAAACATTAGTGGGCATTTTGACCCTTAAACGTGATCTTGAGAATACTTACTTTGGCATTTAATGTTTTAGAATGTATCTAGAAATTATGTATATTTAGGTATGCACATTATCAACTTGACGAGTGAAACACGTTCACCAAGTTGAAGATAATTATGATTAGGATAGACATTATTTCATAGCTAGTTAGATTTTATCGTGGCTTCAAACTCTTGACCCACCGGAGGAGTGAGGACAGTGGGAGTGGGGGGTCCGGTGTTGGGCCGTGAAGCCGCTTGTTGGGCCTGAGCCAGAGCCTGCTGCGAAACCATCATCAACTGCCCACTGCTGCTGCGGATAAGCATCATACCTGCATCCACATGTGAACCACATTACTTATGGGATTGACAATGTATACAATACCTCAATCCAACAACGTTTGAATGTGTTTTGTCTTGTTCTATTGCCGTGTTGCTGGTGCTGCACGTTCTGGGGACAATGGGGTACATTTGATTTTATATACTCATGCCTCAGCATCTTATCAATACTATTTTTGCTATTTTTCCTTCTTAAAAACAAAAAGTGTCTAAGGGTTAGGGTTAGTTTAGTTATTAGGTACTTTTTTCACACACAGAAGTATTACTAATATAATTGTAAGTAACTTTTGTCCAGGACTCCCTTGAATAAGATGATCTCACTGGGACTTTCCTGGCTAAATACATTTTAACAAAAATTACAGAATTCTTCAAACGTTAAAGAAACATTAAAGAAACAAAAAAAGTGATTGGCATTTTCTTGCCACACAATTATACAAGATTACAGATACAAAGAAATGCAGTCCAGGGTGAAGGACATGAAGATGTGTAACATGTGTAATTTACTATCAGCTGCAGTCAAGAAGAGTAGTACAAGGAGATGGCTCAGTGATGATTGGTTGAATGTTATCCACACTATTTCTTAGCGAATCAAAGCTTTGGAAATAGTGGAGAAATTGCTGCTGCATATAGATGGGATTAAGTGAATATTTTTCAGGTTTATTTGTGACATCCAGTTTATACATAAGACTCAAAGTGCTTAACAAAAGCAAAAACTGAAACATTAGAATCATAAATATGATTAGACCTGGGGCAAGACTAGACAATCTAATACAGATGGTGCTCTTATGTGTGGCCTGACCTGGGGGTATTTGGAAGTTGGCTGGGAGCTGTGTGGTGGTGGTGGTCTGCACTCGAGGAGCTGGTGTCACTGGTTGAGATGTAGGAGCTCTGGGGACAGTAATAACCACTGTGCGGCCTGGAGCAGGTGAGGGGCAGGACTGGACCACCGGGTTCAGGGCCGTGTTTGTCATCTGCTGTATGAATTGTTAGGGTTAGAATTGTTAACAGCTAATTAGTGAAGATCTTATGAAAATAGCAAAAGAATACATAAAACTAAAAAGCCAAATTCTAGTTAAATGCCCCATTAACTATCACTGATCAACATTTTCAAATGTAGTTTCAAGCATGTGTATCTGAGGTGGGATTACAATAATTCTGTTCCCACATGGGTTTACTCAATCAAGATGAATCCTGTTGGTTTATTTTTGAAATATTAAGCCCAGATCTCAGATTGCGTTTCTTGCAACACCCCATTTGAATATAAAAAGAAATGCATCTTAATTTGATATTTATAACCACAATATTGACTTGTGATGTTCATTGTTACCTGTTGAGTTGCAGTACCGCGCACCCCTCCAGCAGCAGTCATCTTTGCCACCACCATCACAGGAGCAGAGGTGGTGGAGGGAGGGGGCTTTGGGACAATCTCCACAGCACAGACCGGCTTTGAACCTTCAACCACTGTTTTATTAGTGGTCATTATTGTTTCTGAACAAATGCATGTTAAAATGAATGTCAAAGGTAAACATATGTATGGTATAGATGGCTGTCGTACAAAAAACCCTAAGTAAAAAAATTAAAATAAAATAAAAATCTGAAAAAGTCTTTGCTGCATACTCACTGTAGAGATTAGGGATGCACCGATCCGATACTGGTATCGATATCGGCGCCGATACCAGAAAAAACACTGGATCGGATATCGGTGCAGCCGATCCAATTTTTGTTTCTTTTTTTTTTTATACAAACATACAAGGTGCAGCACAATTTCTTAAAATAATTGTGTATAACATACGTATAAAGTAAGTAATTTATCAGATCTCACGCGTACACGTCACTTCCTCGTGACGCTCTGCAACAACAACCAAGCATGGAGCGCAGGAAAGAATCAGCTGTGCGGCGTCTTTTACACTACCTTCAGTCAGACAACCTCATGCAATATGCAAATGTCATGTTTCGAGAGGCGGCGATAAACTAGCAAAATACAACACGACTACGCACCAGCAAAAGGAGATGACGCAAAAACAACGAGACACAGATGACACTGGGGGATGCTTTGCAGTTTCACAAAAAGCTGTCAGCAACAAGCTGAAAGGGTTGGAGTTCATCGTTTTGGGCTTGCAGCCGCCATCTATTGTTGAATACTATGACTTTCTCAACCTACTTCCGGTATCGGTAAATATCGGTATCGGCAGATACCCATAGGTCTGATTTCAGTATTGGTAGTAAAAAAGCTGGATCGGTGCATCCCTAGTAGAGATGATAATTATAGTGACACTGACTGATTATCATTTTGATTATTATGTATTATGTATGACCTTTATTCGAACAGGATATTTAGAATCTCGTTTTTAGGGCAGTCCTGTCCCCAGAAGGGCAAGTGGGGCTGTTGAACCTTTTGGGTGGTAAGGGAAACAGGACCACACAAATGAAACCTACAGACACAGGGGAGAACATGCAGCGTGGCTTCTACTTACCAAAGGCCGGATAATTTTTTGCCACCTTTTTAATCATGGAAAGAAAAGTCAAAACTGCATTATGCAATGCTTTGTGGTGTCTTACAAAATCAAACCACATTACAAAAAAAAAATCTGAATCATCAGAACAAAAGCGTGATTTTATTTCCTCTGTCCTAATATGTTGATGACATAAGAGAGGAGCAGGCCTGGGGGGTGCTTATAAAATATATTCTAAAGCTGGAGTACCTTTTTTTGTATATAATGAATAACATATGCCGTTTGTCACTTGGAAAAGTGATTTGAGGTGAACAAATCAGACCACAACATGCAGTCTTTACATTATTTGACAATATGGCATCTGTCAGAAGGAGGCCTAGGAATCACTATCCAAATAAGTTATGGGCTGTGTAAGGGTCTTAACATAACATCGTACGAATTTCAGTACATGTAGATAAATAATAATTGACCTAAGTTTACAGATGTCCAAGGTCAGGCCAGTGTGAGGGGGGGTCCTCTCTTTTAAACGTTTCCATTCATAAAAAGATGAGACAGACTTTTCTTGGTAAAATGTGTTTTAATTTGCCGTACCCTTGTTGTAAAGTTGATATATTTGACTGAACAAAGCTGCATGATGTTGTTCCATCTACTTGAATATGGGTTAATGTAGAAAGTATATAATTCTACAGTATTGTCATGTTAAACGCTGAACAACAGTGAACCTTCAGCACACCTGTTGTTGATGCTAGCGCTAGCTTATCCTTCACTGTTTTCTCCTCTGTAACGATGCTGCGACGGTAAAACAGCTCTTTATCAATCTTAATCATGTGTTTACAAAGCAGAAACACTTTTACACTAAATACAAATACCTTAGAGTCCAAGCTAAAGTCCTCCCTGCTCCACCTGCTGCTCCGTCAATGTGTTTTGGCGCCATCTGCCGTGAAGGCGCCACACCAAGGTACTAAATTATTATTATTATTATTATTTTTTTCTGTCTTATCGTTATTTGCCCCACATATACAATATCTGTCCTCTTTAAAATAGAGTAGGGCGAGAAACACGTAATAATATTTGATTTAATTGGCTGATCTGTTTTATTCCCCACAATTAATGAATCTTAATTTAGATATATCCTTAACCTCCAACTGCCCACGATTAAAGACTGTAAATTATTTTGCATGAATCAAACCTTTCATTTTTGTGTCAAATTAGATTAATAGTTCATACCAGGGTTCAGCCATATATGATTAAAAAAAACTACTCTGATTTATACGGCTAAGATCTTGCAACAGTCTTCTCTGACAATGTTCAAAACCAGGTTAAAAACAGATCTGTTTAGCTGTGCAAACAACTGAAGGATTTTACCTTCACTTCTATTTATGATTTTAATGCCTGTTGAGTGACTGTTTCTATCCTGTTTTGTTAAGCACTTGAAGTTACCTTGTGTATGAACTGTGCTATACAAAAAAATAACCTTGCCTTTCCTTTTAAACCTTAAGTAAAAGTAACCACTCATTGTAGGAAATGAATACCATTTGTTACATTTATTGAATAAAGCTCAAATCAGTTTGTACATATGTCAGAACTATTATGGGTCAACACTTTGCAGTATTCTTTTGGAATTGTACTTAAATTCAAATTAGATGGGCAAAAAATACATTTATTTTTTCTGAGGTAAAAGTGCACTCTTGAAGGATCGACGACTTGATTTGGTCACAATAATTTGTATAAATGACCATTTGTTGTATAAAAGGGTGAATTACATTTGTGGGGCTCAAAGTGTATAGTATGTACACTATAGTTCTACTATTTAAACAAAGAAATAACATATGTGCAATGTATGATAATTAGGGCTGACGAAGGAATACCCTATTTGTAAAACTCATTAATGACAGTTAAGTGTATTATTTTATTTTTTCTGTCTTAGCTCAGGTTTCCAATATATATTTATGTCATCTTTTTCAAGTGACGTAATATACTCCTGAAGTTACATTTGCGCACCTTTGCACATTAAATAACTAAACGAATGACTGATGGAAAAACATTCATGAGCGCTCGCCATTTGACTTTACAAATTTACTTTAAGTTATATTGTATTCATACTAATGATGAAGTATAAAACACCCATCTATCTTCCCCCAGACAACAGACGCATGACCAGCTCCTCATCCTCCGCCAGCGAGAGCCCAGTGTCCAGAGCTTCTTCTTGTCGTGTCACTTTGAGCCTTTTTGCGGACTTTGGCCTCTCCTCTTCCTCTTCCTCACTCTCACTTTCACTATTTAATTGCCTTTTCCCTGCTTTAGTCCTGTCGTCGTCGTTGTCGTCCTCCTCCTCCTCGTCCTCCTCGTCCTCCTCGTCCTCCTCGTCCTCCCCCTCTTCTTCTTCACTCTCAGACTTGTCCTGCTTATCCGGATCGGGCAGTGTACTGGGATCAAACTCGTCATTGTCGTCGTCGCTGTCGTTGGCCAAATACGCCACGATCTCGTCCTCCTCGTCTTCGTCGGGTTTGTTCTTCTTGCTGGCTTCCTTCCTGGCCGCGCGCTCTTTCAGTCGCTTCTCCCGGTGCTTCTCCTTCACCTTCCTCCTGTACTCCTCCTTGTCGAATGCTTTGTCCTCCAGCTTGAGTCGCTCTCTGGCCTTTTCCACGTTGATTCCTGATGTCTCATCGTCATCGTCGTCGTTAGCTTGGGTCACAGCCCTCTGAACAGGAGGCCACAGCTGCACGGCCTCGCCCGCCTCGCTGAACGCGACTTTTGTGTTCACTTGGAAGTTCCTTTTGAGCACCTTCTTGGCCTCTTTGAACTTGGATTCTTTGATTGGCTTCTTCTGGTCGCTAACCTCCTCCTCTTCCTCCACTTCCCCTTCTGTGAGACTGAAAACATCCTTTCGTTTGATCCTTAAGAAGTCCAAGTCTTTCAAATCGTCGTCTTCGTCGGCATCGCCTAAGGCCGTTTTGCATTTTGCCGACTCAGAATCGCTTTCTTCGCCTTCTGCTGAACTTTCTGATTCAGATGTGGAGTTTTCTCCTTTAAGTTGTTGCTTAAACTTCTTCAGCTCCTCTTCATCATCCTCTCTGTCAGACTGCAGGGCTTCCATTGTTTTGCTTTGACTTTTGTTGAGGAATCGGACCCTGGGAGCCACGGCGAGTCCCAGGGACAGAGCGTACTCATGCAGTTGCAGTTTGCTGACGTCGAACACAGCTTTGTTCTTCATGAGGTAAACCGAACGCAGGTAAGAGACGAAGCACCTCTGTGCGCGATCCTTCATCTCCTTCTCCTGAGCCAAGAAGGACTGCAGCTTCTGCTCCACGCTCTGCAGCTTTTCTGGATTCACCTGAAAATATAAAATAAAAAATAACTGAACTAAAGCACTTTAGTATGGATGGAAACTTTCTCAACTGCAAATAACACATATACATAATGGTGGAGCCAAATACAGCGCTCTGGGAGTGCCCTCTGCCTTCAGGTTTAAAAAGCAGCCACAATCACAGTTCAGGTGTGGGGCTGAGGACAGAACATTAGGTTCTGACATTCAACCCATTCAAGAGAATGTCCATCCATCCATCCATCCATTTTCTACCCTTTAATCCATTTCTGGGTCAGGGGGGTGGCAATCAGAGATGCCACCCAAGTCTCATAGCACCAGCCCCTCACTGACCCTCTGCAGGTGGTGAGTCCACAGGAGGGCGGCTGCTCTCTGAGTGTGAGCATAGCCTTGATCTTTCAGTGGGGGCTTTTGGGCAAAGTGGGGTTAAGTGTCTTGCCCAAGGACACAACGACAGCAGTCATCAGTGGGAGTCGGTGGAGAAGGTGTGGAGGTGGGAATTGAACCCACGACCTTCAGGCCTGAAGGCCAATGCTCTACCAACTGAGCTACTGTCGCCCCAAGAGAATGTCAGACCCTCCTATATAAACTGCATGGAGCATCTTTGAGAGTGTTGTATACTGACCTGGATCTTGTTGATAGGGACTTTCTTGTCCTGCAGCAGTTGGAGCATGCTGGCCTCCTCTGAGGGCAGCAACAGCAGCAGTGCCTCTCCCCCCTCCTGGTATCTGGCGGTCCGTCCCACCCTGTGTATGTAGGTGTCTGCGTCTTCTGGACAGTCGAACTGCAGGACCCAGTTGACGGCAGGGAAGTCCAAGCCCCGGGCCGCAATGTCCGTGGCAAAAAGAACAGCGTTTTGCTTCCTCACAAAGTCGTTGTAAACCTCCACACGCTTCATCTGCTGCTGTTTGCCGTGCAGAGCCAGGATGGGGATGCCAGGTCTCAGGCGACAAAACGTTCTAAATCAAAACAGTATTCTAGTTAGAATGGAAGACGATACAAGGCTGTATCTAAAAATCTTGGGCATCTTCTATGGTTGTTTATGGTGGCACAGGCTCTGATAAATGTAACTTGACTGTATAACTGTAACTTTACTTCATTTAGGCTTGAAACTCAATTCAAAACGGCTTATCAAGGGGAGGCACAAAATTAGTAAGTAATTAATAAGTTTATATCATGTACAAGTAATCTTTCAATTATCGTTTTAGTTTTGGTCATTCAAATGAGTAAAACAAAGAGACCATGAGATAAGTCCAGGTATAGCCTGAACTTGGTTGTTGGCAGAAAGTAGTTTCCCAATATAGTTTTTGTCATACCTGTTTTTTTATATTTGAATATTGAGAGCAGTCAAAAGGCAGAAACAGTTTTCCCAGATCACCCCCTCCCTCTTAGCATATAAGTATATATGCTGATATAAACAAAAATGATGAAACAACTTAATCATTTCCTTTATCATTGAAAATATCATTGTAAAAAAATGAATTAAGCAGAATTATTACTATTGTCGCACTATTCCAAAGTAAATCTACAAACAAAAAGTATCCTAGCTAGAGGCAATACCATTTGTTGCTTTGGTTTCTGTATTTTTTGTGGAAGAGTCTCACCTGAAGAAATACTGCACTTCTTTACAGCAGGCGAAGAACACGATGACCTTCTTCTTGAGGTGGCTCCGGATGAACGAGAACAGCATGTTGACTTTCTTCTGCAGATCGACCACAACGTAGCTCTGTTCTAGCGTGGCTGGCGTGCTGAACTTGGCCTTCTCGTGCACCCACACGTACTCTGGGTCTTTGAGACTGAGGCGCGCCAAGTCTTTCACCGATTTGGTCTGGGTCGCTGAGAAGAGCATGGTCTGTCTGGTCTTGGGCAGGTTCTCCACGATGGCGTTGAGCGTGTCTGCAAAGCCCATGTCGAGGATCCTGTCGGCTTCGTCCAGGACCAGCATGTGCAGGTCGGAGGCGTGGAACGTGGCGGTCTCGTCCATGTGCTGCAGCAGTCGCCCCGGGGTGCAGATAACAATGTTGGTTTGGTGAATGCGCTCCGATTCATTCTTCAGGTCCTTTCCTCCAATAATGAGGCCCGCAGAGAACTCGTGGTTCTTGCCGATCTTACGGAGCACCTGGATGGAGGAAAGATTGCAGGTTTGTCAATTTTGTTTATTTTGTAAATAAGAACGGTCTCTGGGCATCCTGGACTCATCTGTAGAATCTACAAGTAATCAGTTTTTAACAAATAGCAAATGAAAAAATAAAATAAACTGTGTGCAGTGCATAGGCTCTTACAAACAAGGCCTCAATTTTACTTTGACTAACACATATATTGTTTAGCCTAAACTTCTACTTTCAATAGGTTGGTGCACAACTTTTTAAACCATTTTGTTTTGGCTTTTACACAATGGACTTGGCTTTAGTAAGATTACAGTTAAGACTCTTCATGTAGCACTTGATAATGTATGAATTATTGGTAATAAAATATCCAGACTTCCAGACAGTCACCCTTATAGTTAATGATGACCATGAACGACAATCATACGACCCATAAAATTATATATATAGAATAGAAAGAGTCCTGAATATCTGTTGCTTTGGTAGTGTCCAATCAATGTAAAACAATATATCTGACATCAGTTATTGTGTTAATAAACTATAAAAATAAAACAACTAAAACACATACAAAACTACAAAACCAAAACATGAACATGTGAATGTAATTGTAACACCCTGGGTTAAACAAGATCGCGCCGAACCATTTCACTATTAATTTACCTCAAATGTCTGATAGGCGAGTTCTCTGGTGGGGGATATGATCAGAGCTCCCAGTCCGTCCATGGAGGTCCACTGATGGCGATACAGACACTCCAGTACCGGGATGAGGAAAGCGAGGGTCTTCCCAGAGCCTGTTTTGGCCGCTCCGAGCACGTCCTTTCCCCGCAGAGCAAAGCCGATGGTCTGCCTCTGGATCTCTGTGGGCTGTCTGTACTGCGCTGCCTGCAGTCCCAGCAAGGTTTTCTTTGACAGGGGGAAGTCGGAGAATTTGACCGCTTCTTTCGCATTGATTTCCTCGTATCTGCTTACAAGTCTGTCAATATATTCCTTTTCGACCTGCCACTCGGGTTTCTTTTGCTTCAATCTCTCGAATTTCACTCGGGCTTTAGTTTTGTTGTATTTTTTCTTCCACTTCTCAAAGTTTTTCACCGGGTCAGTTCCGTCTTCCATCTTCGTAGCTTTGGGTTTCTTGACGGCCGAATTTGAGGCTTTCTTCTCCATTATTATACGAGAAAAACTACAATATTACAGACAGGCTGCGTGTGTACACAACACGCATGGGGAGAAAAGTGTCGCACTAGAAATACGTCATCAGCCACTGACTGAGAAAAGTCTACTCTGATTGGTTTTCATCTTTTTTTCTTTTAACATTTACGTTGCCTGTAGTGTAACTCAATTAGCGTTATTATATATAGTACTAAATAATATTCTGTCTATGAGTGCAACATGACATACACTTTTTATCTCTTCTGACTGCTGATAAGTAATGTTTCTCTCATTATTGGAGCATTTCCCTATTGAATTTTTTGGTAAAAAAAACCTCAAGAACTAAATGATTGTCTTTCACAATTTTCGTTTTGAGTGTTATCTTTCATTTTTCCTTTTGTTCAATACACACAGCAAAAAACAATCCAAACCCTAGAGACACATAATCATATAGTCACTTATGTTATGTACTTCCCATTTTTATGTCCAAATTTCTTGTATGTAGTATAATTCAAGGAAAGACCATCCAGTATTATTATGAGTTTTATAAGAATACAGTAATCACATTTTTACAAAAGAAATATCAGAAAAAGGGTAACAATGTGTGCAGAAAAATCCATATTACAAGCTTTAATTGTCTCATCGATTGTATGGATGCATTGAGCCTGAAGCAGATTTGATATTCGTCTTGATACTACTGGGCATTTTCCCTGTAAAAATACAAAACAATAATGTCAAGCATTTTTGTGATTTTAACCAACTTCTGAACATAATGTGAATTCCCATAATCTCCCACCTGGTTGCCCCTGTTGTTGTGGTACTGGTCCCCCCATAGAAGTCTGTTGTCCAGAGCCCCCTCCGATAGTGACCTGCTGCAGAGTGGGGCCTCCACTCATCATGGGCCCCTGCCCCGAAAGCCCAGGAGCCACTGGTCCTGGGGGTCTGCACTTAGAAAGACCTTTACCAAATGCTACAGCTCCAACCAGGGCATTTGTGTCTGCAGGGTTGAACGATGGTTTGTTCTGTCTTAATGCTAAAAAAATGGCATACATATAAGTAATACAGTAGAGAACGTTGTAGGTGATTATGTTAACATGACAACTATAAGGTGTTTGTGTAAATGAACAAACCTGCATTTTCAGCCTCCCTTTCATCTCTGGGGTTATTAAGTTTCTCTAAAAGACCGGAACAAAGTTTATTCAATGTCTGGATCTGCTTCTGTCGGCACAAAACACATCAGTTCTCACAGTTGCTCGTTAAGTCAAAGAAATCCCATATTCTGATTTAAGAGACCTGAGCTGCTTCAGGGCCGATACGTGCGGCCTCTGCTGTGAGCTGCTTCTCCACCTCTTCCACCTCAGGGTCAGGCTTTGTGCGCAAATAATCTGGAACAATCTCATGGCTGAACACAGGCACTCGCTGCTCTGTTAATTTCTGAAAGAAAAAGTCAGAAATTCTTAAATACCACAATAATCATAACGATGTGCTCACACAGGTAACTAGAACAAAAGTTTCAATTAACTTCACTGCTGTGTCTATTGGAGCAGTAAGCCAATTCAGAGTTCAACGTTTTAAAGTTGGGTAAAAAAATATTATTGACTAAAAACCATGCATTGTAATGTTGATATGTTAACAGGCCGCAATGAATTTTAATGTTAACATGTACTGACCGCCAATTCGTCATCCCTATCCGGGGACAGCAGCAACGGGATGATGACCTGACTGCGATAAGATGGAGTCTTCTCATTCTTTAGCAGTTTGTTAATGGTGTTGAGCTGCCCGGACAGGAGAGCAAAGTTGTCCAGCACAGAAGGCCTGAAGTAAAGTAAATAAACAACTAAATCAAACGTTAAATGAACATTGTATTGTCTTAAAATGCAGCCTTCACCTCTGAGATAATCAACATCTAACTAAATTTACAATCTTGGCGATGAAACCTGATTATATAGATCCATAGTATGTATGTGAAGTATGAAGGTCCAAAATAAGAATCTTTACCTGCAATGCTGTATTCAGACAGAACATTGCATTTAAGACGAGTTCATAGATATGAACCCCTCGGCGAAATTCAGGTAACGAATTTTTTTCATTAATGGGCTTAGAAAAAAAACCAGTCTCTTTGTGATCAAGTAATACAATAATATTGACACAGTTGCATAATTACAAACCCCATCTGATCAGTTCTAAGATATTATTTGACCATGGTAAGCGGAACACGTTCTTTATAACTACGTACAATGTTATTCTGTCTATAAATGTACGTACTATTTGAATCCGTTTCAATATTACCAACCATGTTAATCTCTCGTATTCATTTTCTAGTTTGTAAATAAAACTGTGCAGAGCATTTTTGACGTGAGCGACGCGAGACACGAGCGACTCCACGGACGCCTCCAGCTGCTTCTCCTCACGCTGCTACGGACAAAACAGATATAATTCATAAAATCAACACGTGTGTGAAATTAAGAGATAATAATAATAAAAGTGTTACCTGCATGTTTTCTCTTGTTAGCTTCGAGAGCTAGATTCTGTTGAGGCGGAAGTTAATAATCATGGATGTATTTGCAGGTCGCCCTCTAGCGGCTGGAAGTGAATCTACAAGTATATTAGTACATTAGTGTAAACTCTCAGTCCTACAGGGATTAGTCAAAGCAAAGGAAGGGTTCTCACCCATCTTCTGAACTTATTACCAGGTTTTCCCAACGTTTCATTTGCATTCACATGTATACTGTATAGTCTGATACTTATGCTACACATTTTATACATTAAATAAGAAAATAAAAAGTTGCCACACTATATATCAGAATAGGTGTGTATCGTTTCTACTCCTTTTCTTTTTCTATTAGTTTCTTTTCATCCAATAGTTCAACCTTTGAGTTTTTATTTCCAGTACTTTGCTGGGAGTTACTATGGTTTATTTATTTAAGTAGGAAATACAGTGGGGCAAAAATGTATTTAGTCAGCCACCGATTGTCATTATTTTAAGTGGGAGAACTTGCACAGAGGTCTGTAATTTTCATCATAGGTACACTTCAACTGTAAGAGACAGAATGTGGGGGGGGGGGGGGGGATCCAGGAATTCACATTGCAGGATTTTTAAAGAATTTATTTGTAAATTGCGGTGGAAAATAATTATTTGGTCAATAACAAAAATTCAACTCAATGCTTTGTAATATAATCTTTGTTGGCAATAACAGAGGTCAAACGATTACTAGAGGTCTTTACCAGGTATGCACACACAGTAGCTGGTATTTTGGCCCATTCCTCCATGCAGATCTTCGAGAGCTGCGATGTTTTGGGGCTGTTGCCGAGCAACACGGACTTTCAACTCCCTCCACAGATTTTGAATGGGGTTGAGGTCTGGAGACTGGCTAGGCCACTGCAGGACTCTCACTGATGGAAGGAGGTTTTGGCTCAAAATCTCACGATACATGGCCCCATTCATTCTTTCCTTAACACGGATCAGTCGTCCTGTCCCCTAAGCAGAAAAACAGCCCCAAAGCATGACGTTTCCACCCCCATGCTTCACAGTAGGTATGGTGTTCTTGGGATGCAACTCAGTCTTCTTCTTCCTCCAAACAAGACGACTTGAGTTTATGCCAAACAGTTCTACTTTGGTTTCATCTGACCACATGACATTCTCCCAATCCTCTGCTGTATCATCCATGTGCTCTCTGGCAAACTTCAGACGGGCCTGGACATGCACTGGCTTCAGCAGGGGGACACGTCTGGCACTGCAGGATTTGATTCCCTGTCGTCGTAATGTTACTGATGGTAACCTTTGTTACTTTGGTCCCAGCTCTCTGCAGGTCATTCACAAGTCCCCCCGTGTGGTTCTGGGATTTTTGATCACCGTTCTAATGATCATTTTGACCCCACGGGATGAGATCTTGCGTGGAACCCCAGATTGAGGGAGATTATCAGTGGTCTTGTATGTCTTCCATTTTCTGATAATTGCTCCCACAGTTGATCTGTTCACACCAAGCTGCTTGCCTTTTGTAGATTCACTCTTCCCAGTCTGGTGCAGGTCCTGGTGTCCTTCGACAGCTCTTTGGTCTTGGCCATAGTGGAGATTGGAGTCTGACTGTTTGAGGCTGTGGACAGGTGTCTTTTATACACATAACCAGTTCAAACAGGTGCCATTAATACAGGTAACAAGTGGAGGACAGAAGAGCTTCTTAAAGAAGTTACAGGTCTGAGAGAGCCAGAGCTCTTCCTTGTTTGAAGTGACCAAATACTTATTTTCTACCATAATTTACAAATAAATTCTTTAAAAACCTACAATGTGAATTCCTGGATTTTTTTTCACATTCTGTCTCACAGTTGAAGTGTACCTATGATGAAAATTACAAACCTCTGTCATTATTTTAAGTGTGAGAACTTGCAAAACCGGTGGCTGACTAAATACTTCTTTGCCCCACTGTATAATGAAACTACTCCTACATTGGTAATACAATACTCTTTACAATCCTCATTACACAAGTTATAATTTAATTTGATCAAAGCATGTGGTGTGCAACAGATGCTGGGAGCCAACAGACTGATCAGAAGAACAGCGTTGATCTGGTTAGTAACTCAGGGGAGTACCCCAGTAATACAGAGTTCACCACTGGACACTTTGAATAAACTATACAAATGGTTTCGTTTGAATTATTTGGATCAAATGTGTTTTCACATCTATAAAATAAGAATGATTCTTAAAACATTTGAACTAATGAACGTACAAATGTATGTTGACTTACGGTTTTTCATACAAAACACAAAAAAATCAAATGTGCATTTTATATTTTATTCATTTAGAAAAGGTTGGTCCAGTAGCAAGAGCAACTGGGTACAAATGTGATGATTGAAGCAAACGTCTTTTAGTGCTGGTGAAGTGCTGGAGTCCAGTTAGAAGTTAGAAGATGCTGTCAACATCTCCCATCTCCACAATAACAGACTTGAGCTGGGAGTAATACTCAATAGTCACCTGACCGTTCTCCCGACCAAAGCCTAAAAAAAAGAACAAAAGTGAATCTAAATGTTAAATAAATTAAAAAAAACAGGACATGACACAAATACACAGAACTTTGACTGTACACTGCTACTTTAAGTTTTTAACTATGTAGCCTGTATAGTGATGCTGCCAAGTACTTTTATCAGTGGTGGTCTCCAAAGCTGGACTGACCTAGCACCAGGAGAGACACACAGCCAGGGAAATTGCAGAAAAATACACAGAACTTGTTTATATGGGATATGGGGATGTCTCGGTAATAACATTACAATTGTCTGGTGAAGACCCAAATAACTAAATGTACTAAGAACACAAGATGAACCTTTCTAAGCTTTAGGATTAGGGCCATTTTCACCCCAGAGTTTATCGGCTCCATCAAGTACAAGTAGTGATGGGATACACGTTTGCTGGTTAAAACAAACCTGAATTTTTGTATCCTCCAAATGGGACTTCCACTGGGCTGATGTTGTAGTTGTTTATGAAGCAAGTTCCAGCTTCTAAGTTTTCTGCAACTCTGTGAGCTCTTGAAATATCCCTAATGAATAAAAAAAACAGAAAATTAGTTTTCCAAGTTTGAAACATACAAATGAAAAATAGTAATGGGTGCTTGATTGGGATTGAATGCTGTCGATGCTGCTTCAACAACCAAATATTGAGATCTTTTAACTATTAAGTGAAGTGGTTCTAAAATAAAGAGTAGAAAGTTCAAAGTCCACTTGTAAAAAATAAACGCTGACCTGGTGAAAACCCCGGAGGCCAGTCCAAAGGTTGTGTTGTTGGCTCGCTTGATCACTTCCTCTTCTGTGTCAAAAGGCATCACCGACATCACAGGGCCGAAAATCTCCTCCTTCACACAAGTCATGTCGTCTCTGCAGTTATCTGTGGCCAGACGAATACGACTTGAGCAAACAGAAAGTGTCACTATTTCCAGTGTGAGTTTCAATGGTCACAACAGGAACAAAAAAGCCAGTTATCCTCGATAACCAAACATCCCTCCATACTTTGTGGATACCAACACTTGGTTGTGTTGGCGCACTGAAAAGCCAACCTCAAATTTTTAATTTAGAAATAAGCATTGTTCTTGAAATGGAGAAATTACTAAAATGTAAAGTAATGAAACAGAATTAAAAATAATCCACGTTTTCATGTTTGCGTGAGAAAACTGTGATAATCTTTACGTACCCAACACACATGGTGACATGAAGTAACCGCCTTTGAGTTTAGGGTCACTGGGGACAAAGGGCTCTCCTCCGCACAGCACTCTGGCTCCCTGTAACAATAGAATTTGATAGAGCAACATTTAATGAAACTGAAATGCACTGATTATTGCATATTGTGTGCAACAAGAGCACTTAACTTTGATCTGTCTGAAAATGAACTGAAACACAACTGAAATAACTGAAGGAAGGAAAAAAACAACCAGGTTGCTCGAGTGTGCAAACATCCCGTCTGAGAGCCTTGATTTTCTACCCTCAACGCAACGCTGTTTCTTTTCGGATTCGTTGCAACGTTACTTTTTATTTACTACGCATCTTCCGCCGCCTGTGGATCAGTCACAACTTGCACTCAGTTCTCATTCCACAGTACGTGAAGCATGAGACCGTTAGTGGTGGCGCTGCTCATAGCGGATTGTCACAGAGATCTGTCCATCTTCTGTGTGGAGTAGGTGTGTGTGTGTGTAGGTGACGGGCGGCTACAGGTAGAGCGAGCGAGAGCGGAGTGTATGTAAGAGCAAGTCAGAGGACAAGATGTTGGTGTTTTTTGGCGAAAGATTAAAGCCCGACACTTGAGCAAGATTCCAGTGTATTGTTGTGATCGCACCACACTTTGACTGTGACGGTCACTACAGAGAAGAGGGTTACGCTCCGGAGGAACGCATTCCTTCGGCCCTGGAACAACAAATCTCCCCTGCGCCCATTGCCCATGGTCCGGGGGGCTTAAAATAGGAAAGGCGTAGCAACAGTAATTTAAAAGTAACGCAAAAGTAAAGTAAAGAAGTTACTTTCTTTAGAAAGTAAATAGTGGTATTGGACAAGGAAAGTATGGCACTAGATTAATCAGGGATAAAAATAAATGACTTCAAGACAATAAAGGCTTCATATTCCAGCGATCAAATCTGGACAATGTGCAAAAGCAAGTGGGGTTAACGCTGAATTTCATAAACAACACTTTAGCTTCTCAAAGCATTCTCAGGTTTCGGATTGTTGCAGCCGCACACACCTCCTTCTTGGCCTGCTCCACAAAGCCCAGCACTTTCTCCAGGTGAGGTTTGCTGATCAGCCCTCCCATCTGCGTGTCGTCCAGCAGAGGGTCCCCCACGCGGATGGCTTTGGTCCTCTTCACCACCTCCTCCAGGAACTGAGGCAAAATGTCTCTTTGCACAAACACCCGCGTCCCGTTACAGCACACCTTCAATTAAACCAGAGAACATGTCAGTAAATTTGCAGACAAAAGTAAGAAAACAAAAGAAATGTGTTCAGGATATGTACATTTGAAACCATCACTTCAATTCTAAATCAATAGACCGATATTCTAGACATGGTGACGAGTTTAATAGGCCCTTATGGACAATGGGTTTGCATTTCAAATAGAAAATAACAGGGACCAACCATTTTCAATTGAAATGGAGCAGATACTGGATTTCTTTGGGATTCTTTTATTTTGATTAACAATTTCATTTTTTACCATAGATTAGGGGTGTCCAAACCTTATAGAAAGTGAGGGCCACTTTCTCAATCTAGACTGTCCACAGCCCGACCAAGCCTGGGTAACTTTACTATTTTGACTGCTGTTCTGAACTTTAAAACATAGATGCAGCATTGAATGATTTATAGAGTAAAAATCTGCAAGTCTTCCTGAAAAGACAGGCTTCTTTTTCTTCTTAAAAAAATAACAATTGTAAACCGCTTTGTGACTCTGGTCTGTGAAAGGCGGTATATAAATAAAGATTACTTGTACTCTGACAATGTCCAAATCCAGGTAAAAAAGTTGTTTAGCTGTGCATACAACTGGATTATACTCCAGATGTATGCACTATACTGTGTACTTTTATGATTTGAATGTATTTGATGATATTTTCTTTCTAGTTTTGTTAAGCACTTTGAGTTGCCTTGCGTATGAACTGTGCTATACCAGTAAACTTGCTTATAATTAGCTATTATTGAGCTGAAGTTGGCTAAACGACAAATGACCATCCCACCAGCATTAATTGGATGACTCAATCAGAAACAAAATATTAAGGGTCTGAGCTTTACAATAAGGGTACATCATGACAATATATTGACAGAGATGAAGTTGGCTGGGTGATGCATACAATGCATATATGTTGCAAATAAAATTGTCCTTTTAATTCTTGTAAAAAAAACAAAAAGCCGGTAACACCAAAATAAACCAACCCAACTCATACATTCTCACAACTAATATGTCAAATGCAAATAAAGCCTTTGGCCATGTTGTCATACAGATACAGTATATATATATATATATATATTATGAGTAAAAATCAGTAGACAGTGGCCTTACCTCTCCTTGTGTGAGGAAGTTTGCCATGAGAGCTCCTTTTATGGCATTCTCCAGCTCACAGTCTTTAAAAATGAGGAGTGGTGATTTCCCTCCGAGCTCCAGAGTCACCTGCTTCACAGTTTTTGAGGACATCTCCATCACCTAACGGCAGATAGTTCGAAGAATTTCAGTTCACATATCATCATAAATATTTTAGAGAGGACAGAAGCATGAATACCAAAAAACACAAATGTTAAAAGTCACAGCTAAAATATAATCATGTGTACTTGAACTGGAATTAAAGATTTGTTAGTGGAACCAGCTGGAAATAACTTTTACACAAAAAAGAAACAAATTATTTTTTTAAATCCAAATAAACAACAATATTTAGCATTTTGTAGGAATCGTTGCATGTCTCACCTAAATCTAGACTTCTAAACTACTAATTAATAAAAAAAAGGTATGATCCTCTGATGTAAATGGTAAAAATGGAGAAAATAACTGAACTAAATTCCAACTGTATGATTATCAGGACAAAAGTTACAAACCTATACTGCAGTCATCATGCTTATAAAATCCTGCCCAGTTTAGCACTTTACATCCACCCCACTGTGGCACATCGTGTTTCCAGAGGTCTCCCATCACAGTACTAACCAGGCCCTGCCCTGCTTCAGAGGTCTGATACAAACTGGTTTCACATGCCACATTTGTGGATGGAGTCCAAAACAAGTCAGCATCCATCTTTGATATAAGAACAAAAGGTGCAGCTCAACAAATCCCGAATTGTTCACTGTCCAAATCCAGGGTCAAACAGTTCAGCTGTGCTTACAACTGAAGAATTGTAACGTCGATCTATTAAATGTACTGTAATGATTTATTATTTGAATGCCTGGTTTTGTAAAGAAGGTTGTATAGCACAGTTCATACACAAGGCAACTCAAATAAACTTGGCATTAACAATCCATCTTGAATCCATACCAGACACCAAAAAAAAAAAAAAAAGGTCTTCAATTGAGTTTTGTTTAGACCTGTCTATCATTTGGTGTTTATCACAAATTTCCCTGTTTTTCTTGCTTAATCTTGTGAGCATTCTCCATGAATTGAATTGAATGTGCATTACGCTGACAAATGTCTCATCTTATCACCTTTTTGCCGGTGGGTACGCTGCCGGTGAAGGAGACTTTGGCGACAGCGGGGTGATGACACAGGATGGTCCCAGTCTGAGCTGCCCCCTGCACCACACAGAAGAGGCCGTCCGGGACTCCTGCCTCTTTGTAGATCTCAGCCAGGATCACAGCCGTCACTGGGGTCATGGGCGAGGGCTTAAACACCATGGCGTTACCTAAAAATAAACGTCAAAGCAATCATCATTTGTCCAGATGTAAATACCATTAAAAAGGTTTCAAAAAAAGGCATGAGAACAGTTGCATAATAATGACAATTAATACAATCCTAAGTGTTTTTGATAAGTGAGTCACACTGTATTCTTAAAAAGTTATGTCACACACCACATAAAAGATAATACCACATCTATTATTCACATACAATTTATTATTGTACTTTTTCACACTCGGGTAAAGAGAGGGGCGGAGCTGCAAACCAATCACCACATGGTCAAGATTTGGATCCGCTGGCAGGGGAGAAAGCCGGTCAGACCATAGACTGTAAATATCAACATATGGTCATATTCTTGGCTGATGACCCTGTAGCTAATGCCCAGCATTGCTGCATGACATCTACTTGTACTCTCTACATTAACGGACGTCGTCACTCGGCGGTTGAAACTAATGTGCTATCTCTTTTCCCCTCTATGGGCAGGTTCAAAATGGCCACGGGGCCTAGAAAATGTAAAAAAACACATCTGCACACGTGTCAGCCGAAACAAGCTCGATTCATTTGATGAGTGCTTTCAAAATTTCACAGCAGCTAAACGTCATTTTGGAAATTGAGCTGGGACCTGCCCCCATTGGGTCAGACCTGGCAGACCCAAGTGTGTAGTTGGGGTCTGCTGGGAACGTCTCGCTGAGCCCTGTCAGACGGACTTTCAACTCAAACCTCTGGTAGGGCTTCTCCGAGGTCCCAGGGGAGGATAGGGACATTGAGTCTGAGTGGACCATGTTCTCCACATCTATCGCGAATGCAGCAGCTCGGAGCTGTGGTCGCATGGTCTCTGGTGCTGGTCTCGGCAGCAACCCCCAAACCCGGTGATGGACACCGGTAGTAAGGGAGGCCGTAAGGCTGAAGGAGTCCTATTGAGCAATGATGGTTAGTGGGCGGAAGTGTGTGTGGATAGGAAAGTCTGGGCGTCGCCGGGTCGCTGCCCCCGCGACCCGGCAACAGATGAAGCGGAAGAAAATGGATGGATATTGGTAATCCCGGCCCCTATGGACAAATGGCTCCAAAAGTGTGATTAATGCATTTCTTGTGTTCAAACTGAAATAGACAACCTTGTAAAGTCCTCCCAGGTAAGTAAGTAAGTAAGTTAGTAAGTTTTTATTTATATACCGCCTTTTCACTGCAGATCTGAGTCTCAAAGCGGTTTACAATTGTTAATTTTGGGCATTTGTCTCTCACTCCACACAGAGATGGGAGCGGGGTCGCCAGTACAGGAAGCGCATGCCAGAACTATTGGACATATTTTTAGTGGTAGGGGAAACCGGAGTACCCGGAGGAAACCTACGCAGACACAGGGAGAACATGCAAACTCCACTCAGAAAGGCCCTGGTCCGACCGGGATTCGAACCCAGGACCTTCTTGCTGAGAGGCGAGAGTGCTATCCACTCAGCCACCGTGCCGCCCCAGGTAGAGTGTTTTGTGATTTAGGGCAATACAAAAATACATTTTAATTAAACTGAATCGAATCACGCACCACCTTCAGAAAGTTACACAGTTCTAAGTTTAATGTGGTACTTGAGATGCTATGAAGCATCCTTGATAACCATCCTTCCATCCATCCATTTTCTTCCCCTTAATCCATGTTTGGGTTGGGGGGGTGGCAGTCAGAGCTGCACCCAGTACACAGAGCACCAGCCCCTCACTGATCCTCCTCCTGCAGGTGGTGAGTCCACAGGAGCCTTGATCTTTCAGCGAGGAATAACCAGTGGTTTGAATATTTCAGGTTTACATGGGAATGCCTGGACTCACCACAGGCCATGGCAGGGGCAGACTTCCAAGCTGCAATCTGGAAAGGATAGTTCCACGCTCCGATGCCCACACACACGCCCAGGGGCTCCCTCCTGGTGTAGGCAAACGCTCCTCCGGGAAGCTGGATATGCTGACCTAGAGACAGACAAAAATACATACACAGCAAAAAGTGATGAAAAATTTGGCAAAGTGTATTGAAATTTGAGCACATTTTGATTGCCTCAAAACAAGATTTGCCAAAATTATCTTGTTTTGAAAATATACAAGAAATATCTCTCTAGCAATGAGAAAATAAATCAACAATTTTTGAAATAAGACTGCTTTAATAAGACATTAAAGCAATTATCACCTAATATTCCATATTTTTGCCGTGTAATTAGATATAGAAACAAGATAATCAGATTACCTGCCAGTGTTCCGGCTAACCCAGCATAGTACTCGATACACTGCCAGGCAACGTCAATGTCCACCAGCGCCTCAGTGATGGACTTGCCATTGTTGATCACCTCCAGCTTTGCGATCTTCTCTCTTCGTTCCTACATATTTTAAACAATTGATTAGTGGTTGCATTGCTCTCAACATTCCTTCTTCAAAAGGGTCAGTCAGTAGATAAGTAGTCATATTGATTTATCTTTATCTAAGCAATTTGACTTGCCTTGCCATTTTGCATTACAAGATAGCTATAATAACTCAACTCTGAACATCCGTCTAGTGTTTATTTTAGACTGTTATTTCACCTGGATTCAGTTACTTTCGATATTTCTTTCCACTCTATACTATATGATTACAATATATTAAAGTCGTGTTATATATATTTGACTTGGGGTTTCTAATTCCTATTGTGCAAGTGTCTAAAAGTCAAGCATGCGTTTTTTTATTTAATTAAAGCTATATTAACACAATAGACAATTCTGTTAAGGCAAGAAATAAAACAACATTTTCTTGTTTAGTCAATCGGTCAATGGAGTCTTTGAAACTTAATTTTATTACAAGGGTTTCTAAGGGGAAATGTATGATTTAAACAGCGGAAGATTTTGGTTGATATATCCCTTGATATTCAGACCAGACCAGACTCTGTATACCAGTTTGAGTAATTAATAGAGAAATATTGTGATTGTGTACAAAAATCGTTGTCTTTACTTTAAAATTCAAATGGTGAGTACAACGCATTTAAGTTTCAGTAATGGCTTTAAGCCCCACTTCAGTGTTAGAACAGCCAAGACTCCAATACCCAAGGATATAGTCTATTATTTGGTCCGGCCATTCACATACCCTGATAATTCGAGCAGCCTCCAGCATCACTCGTGCTCTCTCCATCCCCGCCTTCTTCCTCCAGACCAGGTATGCCTCATGTGCACTTTGAATGGCTTCATCCACCTCCTCAGCTCCACACGGGTACATCTGGCAGAGAACCCGGCCTGGACAAAAGCAAAGTCATTCATATGCACAAGAACTCTACAGCGACAGCATACAAACAGTGTTGAGATGGCATAACAGATTCAGCATTAGAGTTGCATGCATTACACAAAATAGAACAAACAGAAGTACTTGATCCAGTTATCCTGCAAGATTTCCTGTTCTTGCTGCTTTTAACTTTTTCTGTTTTTAAAATGCATCTTTTTACTTGAAACGCAAGGCGACCTGTGCAGTTTCAACTGGTGTACCATGTGATTGTTTTCTTTGACAGCAACGGCTCAAAAATGTTTGGGAACTCTGATTTAGATTAATCCAAACTTTAACTGTCCTCCTGGCAGCCCAATCTAAGGAATGCAACTTTAAGCAGTAAGTAAGTTAGTAAGTTTTTATTTATATACCGCCTTTTCACTGCAGATCATAGTCTCAAAGCGGTTTACAATTGTTAATTTTTGGGCATTTGTCTCTCACTCCACACAGAGATGGGAGCGGGGTCGCCAGTACAGGAGGCGCATGCCAGAACTATTGGACATATTTTTAGTGGTAGGGGAAACCGGAGCACCCGGAGGAAACCTACGCAGACACGGGGAGAACATGCAAACTCCACTCAGAAAGGCCCTGGTCCGACCGGGATTCGAACCCAGGACCTTCTTGCTGAGAGGCGAGAGTGCTATCCACTCAGCCACCGTGCCGCCCTAAGCTCATAAAATACATGTTTATGATCTGCATCAGATTGTTGCTAAAAAAAGCTATTTTGCCTCAGAGTCACATTCACATGATTGAGGCACATTCCCATTTCGCTCAGACTCACAGTTTTGTGCTCGGCTGTAATCTGAGGGGTGTGAATGTGTTTTGTAGCATGGCAGGCAGAGGTCCTCATTTATCACAATGTGTTACATAAGAAAGTAGGCCTTTCCACTAGTGGGACCATCCTACTTGTTCAGTCCAAGGGAGTATAAACAGGAGGCTCAGTGTAAAGTTCTAAAAAGTGGCTAAAAATGTAATGTTTTGTATGCATTTTGTATGTTTTTCTTTTTTTCTCGAAAATATCACTAGTGAGTTCAGCAAAATAATGCAAACGTGTATTGATTGTGTTACTTTTGCACACACTGTTCTGCATTTACCCGTGGCTGGCTCGAACACAGGCTCTGCATCTGTCTGCTGTCGAGGCTGGACTCTTTTCCCTCCCCAGAAATTGAGGTGGTCGGTCACAACCACAGTACCAGTGCTGGCTCCAGGCATCGAGTCGAGAAGAGACATGTTGAAGTGTGGGGCCTGTGAATTAAGCACAGTCATAAAAATCATGCACAACATAAACGTGCAAAGAACGACGCATGGGCTAATGGCAGCTCGCAGATAGCATGTTAGCCTGAACGCTAAACAAAAGTGCAGAATAAAAGCATTAACGCGTTACCTTGACTGCTCTTGCTGAAAGGACTGAGTGCAAAGTACACGGGTGGAAAATGACTTTAAAGACGCCCCTTGGATTGATAAACACGCCTCTCTGGCAGCCTTCAGCCCACTGTGGAACTGGTCATCTAAGGTCATTCAGTGAATAAACAACACAGAAATCTCTTTAGTTTTCTTTGTACATGCAACTAAATAATTGAATTCTATCCTGCGCAATTTTTTACATAATACCATCAATATGATAAAGCAAATAGTAAAAGCAAACTACCAGCAGGGGGCACCATGAGGTATTTACAGATGGTTATATTGTCTTTTATCAGCAGAGAATATAACCAGAATTAACAATAATAATAATAGCAGCAGGTAATCAGAGCAGTTATCAGATTATGGTAATATTGGATTATGTAGAAGTAATAATAGAAATTCCTGAAAATGTGAAACATGAAATCCAGTTTAATAACACTTCTGTTTAGCCAATTGATTTTATCATCTCTCTTTATAATGTACAGTGATTAATTATGAGTTTAATGCCTTGATTGTTCCCATCTTGTTTTGAATTGCCTTGTGTATGAACTGTGCAAACAAATAAACTCGCTATGCCTACCCACATGTATACACACACACGTACATTTGATATAGAGAACAAGAATTACATGGTTAGAATTCATAAAACTTTATTCATATCAATATTCTGGGTGTACTAACTGCAACAAACAATAATACTGACAAAGAAATTATGAATTAAAATATATTCTTAAAACAATCATGTCCTAACGCAACCTAGAAACGCATTTTAATCTGAAAATTAAATAATCGCGAACGTCTCTATACAATTTAAATGTGAATACAAAATTTAAAAAAACAAAAGACAAAATGAATGGTCATGTCGTAGTAAAAGATGACCAACAGAGGGCGCTGGAGCTGCATACGCGGAGCTGTCAGAAGATAAAGGGACAAAAGATTGAAACATTTGATCTCTAAGAAAATTTGGCAGCTTGAGGAGGTGGCCCCAGAAATCCTCCGGCCTGTTTAGTGGCAGCTCTGGATGGGGCAAGACCAAGCATTTTCTGGATATTCTGCCGGGGAGAGAAAAAAAATAATTTAAAACGTTATAAGAGTATAGTGTATTCTATTCAAGACAACATTCAAGTATCACCAACAGTGAATCTAACTATTGTTGTATACTTTAAAACTGCAAAATTCATGTTAAAGATAAAAAACAATCCATTCCCCATCCTGATTCAGAACCTGCTACAGGAGTGAAAATGTCTATAAGCAAGTTTAGGAAGGTTCATCTTGTCAAAATCAAGTTTTTGGTTCTTCTATACCAGACTTTAGTAGGTTAGTGATTCTTTGTCAAAACATGTCATGGTAATAACATCGCAAACCTACAAAAGTCTGGTATAGAAGAACCAAATACCTTTAAAATGTCTATCTGCAGAGAGGGCAAGATATGTTATAAAAAAATTCCCATTAAAAAGAACAATATGTAAAAATGCATAGAATTTCTGTGGTTGGAGTAAATGTATGGAGTGAGTTGGCTGTAGATTTAAAAGACCACAGTTTTACAAAAATGTAATAAATACTATTCAAACATACGTTGATAGTGATTGCTGATAGCAGATATCAACATGGAGTTTCTATCTTATTTGGATTTGAGTGTAGAAGCATTTAAGTTAAAATCGTATACTAAAGGTTTGGCGTTTGTAAGCTTTAGCTTCTGCCCCCTCCTTTTACAGACTTTGTGTACTTTTACATCTTATTGTCAGAATTGTCTGCAATAAATAAAAAAACTGAAACTATTCTCCAGATACAATTAAGTTTATTGTAAGAGTGGAAGCATGCTACCTGTCGGATGGACATGGTGCAGAGGATGTAGAGGAAGATGAAGGAGCAGTCGGTGTAGTCTTCTCCCAGCAGGTTTCGGTGGGACAGGCCCTGGATGTAGGAAAGCGGCACAAAGGGCAGTTTGGCCACCACTCGCCCGTCAAAACTGGACATAACAGATCAAAGAACATTTTAGAAAGGGAGGAAATGTATTTGTATAGCACATTTCATATATGACTGAGTTAACCAAAGACAGTAAATCACGACAGTTACAGAGCATTGTCTGCACGTCTAACAGGGAATTTACACTGTAGCCGTTTACACGTACACGTACACGCTGTACGTGTTGACTGCGTGCATGTGCGTGTAACATTATTTGGGTGTATCTACACTGGCCGTGCGCGCAGGTCCGCGGCTTCTGATGATCTCCCTGTGTAGTCTATGGAGCAGTGTAGAGGACAGTACGGGCCAGAGGACTGATGTAGAGCAACACAAATCACATGCATGTGTTTGTCCTCATGGTCTCTGTGCGCTGGTCTGCCCAGACGCAAGACTTTATGAAAGAAAGAAAAAACGATGTCCAGAATCACTGTGAAACCTGCTGCTCCTCCTGCTGATGTTTGGATACAAGTGCTGTGTGTGTGTGTAGATACGATCTAAAGCCGAGGGCCGCTAGAAAAGTCATGTTTCACATGTGTTTTCAATGAGAGACACGTTGCTGTGCGCACAAAATTAGAAATCCATCCTAAATGATGGATGTCATACGCGCGTATAACGCTAGAAGTGTAAATATAATCGTAGGTTAACATGGTGAAAAATGACGCGCGTCTGCTGCGCGTATAACGCGTACGTGCTGTAACGCGTCCTGTGTAAATTAGCAGAAAGAGACAAGAAAGTCAGAACAAATGAGTGTTGAATGGACAGAGTGTTAGAGCGGAGCACATTGGAAGTCATTAGGAAGAGCGTTCCATTTATGTAATAATCTACTACAGGAACCTCCAAAAGCTCAGCTCAACAATAACAATGATTTGTAATGATAATGTTAAATAAATTACTGTAGATTGTTTTATATGTGCCTAACATTCAAGGCTAGCCGTTTCCATTACATAATATCATAACTGATATAAAACTGACTTTTCTCTCTGACCATTTAAAGTATCACTATATTTGTCCCAAAGAGTAGTTCTCTGGGTGTTAAGGTTGGAGACTCCTGCTGTACTATAGTACATTATGTTAATCCAAGTCAAATAATACTGTATTAGTTAAAGCAATGATTGTAAAATGAAATTTCAGTCGATAAAGTATGGTCACATTTCCACATATCTACATTTGTTTTACTGTTTCACAACAACCTGCTCAGAGACTACAAGCTTTGCTTTGCTCTCCTGCTACAACCCGTTACAATGCACCTCTCATTTTGGCTAATGTATTTGTACAATGTCCCTGTAAAAATACAAATCATACCATACCATAAGTGTAGTGATGGTCAAAACTATAAACAAAGCAAATTTTGCACAGTAGTCTAGTCTAGTAGTCCATCTACACAGCACCATGGAGATGCCATTGTTTCGCCGAAGATTTACACTAAATATACACATTGTTCGTCTTCAGGAAAACATAAAATACCGACATGAAACCACGTGACACTGTGATCAGACTGACACATCACATGAGCTCGTGGATGAACTTACATAGAGTTGAACATTCCCATCAGCGCAGTAAAGCAGAAGCCAATGGCGAACATGGACTTCATGCGCACCTATAAAGAGCCAATGAGAAATTAGTTTTTTAACCAAAATATTAAGCCTCGACATCTATAATATAGTGTTTGTATTACTTAGAAGCAGTGCTGTCCAACAATTATTATTTTTTTAAATCACAATTAATCGCATGAATGAATGAAAAGATCCATGTATCCATAAGTCTTGACAAGAATGCAGCGGACGAGGAGAGTTGGCATGGGCCGTGTGTTTAGCATCAGGTGTATTTCAAAGTGGATGTGCTGCGGTGATAACCAGATCACACCAACAAAACACACAGATAACTTTGGTCTTGTCAGTCGACCCATATGGCAACTCTTTGAAACTAAACTTTTCATTCAGAAGCTTGTTAACATCGATATTGGCATTTCTCGCTTGACAAACCAGAAGCCTCTTTCACAGCGAGCTAACAGCAAGACCAGAGCAAAACACAAATCAAACACTAGCCGAGGGGGATGGGGTTCTTATTTCTGGTTTCTGTTATTGCATGATTAAGAGAAATGACGCCGTAAATAAAGATTTTGGACAGCATTACTTAGAAGTAAAGCTCACCATAGACAGGTCCCTGTTGTTGTTCTTCAGCTTCTCTTCTTGTCTCTCTGTAACAGGTTCAGGGCAATAAAGTTACAACATATACAAAATTAAATAAATGTGAAATATTTTTGTTTGTTCCTCCTACCAATCTTCTTTTTCTGTTGACGTCCAGCAGATTCAGTGATAGTTTCCTTTTTCTTTTCAACTAGAAGAAATGACAGATTGAATTTCCAATCCTTTCATGAAGTGCAGACCATTTGCTTTCGTTCTCTTCCACACTTACGTTTTTTGCTTTGTTTTTCCACCTCTGCTTTTAACCTCTTGTACTTCTCTGTCCGATATACAAGAACCCAGGTTATTCCTTAAAACACAAAAAAGATACTAATTGACAAATATGACCGTTTATACCCAATGTGATTAGCATTTTATGATATTATTTTCACAGTCAACTAAAGGCAATCCACACAAAAATGTATAATATAACCCATTAAAATTCCATTAAAGGCCCTCTGTTGGTCCTCTTTGAACTGTCTTCATTGAAAGAGACCAAAGAAAGTTTTGCTGCATTAGAGAAACCAGTATATCCGTTGGAAGGATACTTCATAGCTGGCAAACTCTTCTAAACCCAGAAATACAATTAGCCAACTCTCTTTCCAGTATCTAGTATCTGTCTAAAAACTAGGAAACTGACCAGATCTTTCTGCTGATAACCAAGCAGAACAGACTACTCTGGTGGATACAACTAGAAAAGAAAATACGGCTGCATTTTATGTGGGAGGAGTAGAAGTAAATGGGATTCGGATCTTTCCACCTAAATGAATACCATGGCGCTCTAAAGGTTCAAATCAGTCCTGATATGAGTGGCATACATACAATCGGATGTTTTAATTTTTTTTTTTTTGATCTGTATTGATGTGTGCACTCGTTCTGTTTTTTGTTATCTTTATGCCCAGGTTCTATGTTTGCAATGTTTTCACGTAAATATTGCTTTTATTTGATTTTTATTTTCCTTTTGCATACTTTGTATGAAAAAAAAAAAACTTTAATTTGAAAACCCGCAAAAATCACTTGTGCTAGACACGCCCACTCAACGCACTTCCTGGGAGAGGAACGGCCACGCCTGGCTTTTCTGAAATAAAAAGTTCAACTCCGCCATCATCGAACTTCCTCTATTGAATGCGGAAACATGGCCAAGCCTAAGGTATTCTTCGACGTGACCGCAGATGGGAACCCTTTGGGCAGAATTGTGATGGAGCTCCGCGCAGATGTGGTGCCAAAAACTGCAGAAAACTTCCGCGCGCTCTGCACCGGGGACAAAGGCTTTGGATTCAAAGGCTCCGGCTTCCACCGAGTAATCCCTGGTTTCATGTGCCAGGGCGGCGACTTCACCAACCACAATGGAACTGGTGGGAAATCCATCTACGGCGAGAAGTTTAAAGACGAGAACTTCACCCTGAAGCACACCGGCAAAGGCATCCTGTCTATGGCCAACGCGGGGCCCAACACCAATGGTTCGCAGTTTTTCTTGTGCACCGCCAAAACTGCGTGGTTGGACGGAAAGCACGTGGTCTTCGGTTCAGTGGTGGAAGGCTATGAAGTGGTCGAGAAGGTCGAGGGCTACGGCAGCCAGAGCGGAAAAACCAGGGCGAAGATCGTGATCGCCGACTGCGGTCAGCTCTGAGTTGGATCGCCATCCTGAAGACTCACCCTCCGCGGCGAAGTCTCCACCCGAGGGGCCATGCGAGATCACGGATTCAACCCAAGTGTTACTGCTGTTTCAACTGTTGTGTTGTCGCAAAATTCAGTCATTCCTAAATAAAACGTTTTGAGCAATACGGCTTCCTTTCTTTTTTACAATAACCATGTACTGTGAATCTGGTACGAAGTATATATGCTAATGCTTAAGCACTTAAGGGGGGAAGGGGATCACTTACCTTCGGCTAGGAGCGCGGTGCAAACAGAGATAAAGACGATGAGGATAGTGTCCGCAAACATCGTGCTCATGGCAATGGTTTATATGACATGAACCTGGGCTAAAATGCTATTTCTGACACTTGGATTTGGAGTTATGTGGCTGACTCGCACACAGCTCATTCCACTGAACAAGCAGCAAATGCTAGGTCAGCGTAAGAAAGGGCACGCGCACGCCTGCAAGCATTTCCGGTTCAACACTTTCTACCATTGTCCTGCATCCGAATTCAGCGAAATGGCTCCTTTATCTTCCCTTGTTATTCCTTTATGATCTAACATTTACTTTCGAGACAAAGTACCAGTTTTGGTCGGGTGAAATGATTCTTGGATATAAAAAATAAGGACCTATAATGATCAGTATATCAAAGTATTGTTTTAGTGTTTTCCATTTATGTTTATGGATTGTTCGCATTTTTGTATATATATATATATATATATATTTAAATATATAAAAATGCGAACAATCTCGCTATCTCCTCGCCAGCATCCTCATCATATCATCTTTGGAATGGGAGGAGCATGCTCAGTGCACACCGACCACAGGGACTCAGACCTCCGAGCAGAGCAGAGCAGAGCCGTGCAGCATGGCCGGTGACAGCGACACAAAGCCGGGGGAGCACACCGACATTTACCGGGCTCCCTTCCTCATCGGGGTCTCTGGTGGCACAGCCAGTGGAAAGGTGCGAGTATTGTTTCTTTCACTAAAGACGCCTACGAGAGCACAGCTTATTGTGATGGAGCGCTTTGTGCTCTCAATCAACAGAAATCAGCATCTATCTATTACTTTGCTGTCTCATTGACAGCCTACCTTATGTGATGCTTTTATTGCTATTTATGTAATGCTATACATTTTATAGGCGCTTTGCCAAATCAGGTCAAGCATGCCACAACATGTCCCTCCAGGGTCAAATGGATATAGGCTAATGTATTAATCTCATTCACATTCACATATATCGCCTACTGTTGTTTTCTTAAACATGTGGATGTGTGTGTAAAATGTTTTATGTGGAAAATATATGATATGCATATATTAATGCAGACTGCTAATTAGTGCCAGCTGGGAAGAAATGCGTTTATTCTTTACCTCACATTTTCACATGTTAAAGAAATCTAAATGTGTGTGTGTGTGTTTTTTTTTTATCTGCACATGCCAGACATGGCTATAATCAATCTACGTTGTTGTGATTCAATTCAGTGATTCTTCTGCGTTTATCACTTAATGATGCAACATATTGTCTGGGAATGGTAACCTCATGTGCAGCCGGCGAGGTATAAGCTATAGGTAAATGAATGCTCTCTCCATACTTTATAACAATTTTCAATAGCTCAATGATCATCCGATCCACTTTATTCATGTAGCACATTTCTGTGTTTGTTTTCAAAGGGTTCCACACAAAAAAGTAACGTTTAAACTTGAAAGTTAACCAGCTATTAAAAGGGTCAAATGAAATGGAATAGGAAAAGATTGGATGTAAGATATATCATGAGGAAATTCTTAGGCCTACACTAAACTGCCAAGAAATGAACTGCACTTTATTGCAGATACAGTCACTCAATCTTTCACAGTTCATAACATTAGAATCACACAGGGCATTACAAACAAACAATAAAATCACACATGGCAATATAATCATAAACCGTTACCAAGCATTAAAAAGAGTGAAGAATCAACCCTTCAATCATATGCTAAGCTAAACTGAACTTTTTTTAACCTGGATTTCAATATTGAGAGATGAAGCTTGTCTCACATTTTCAGGAAGGTTGTTATAGATTTAAGCTGCATAAAAATGAAAAGCTGCAACCCCATGTTTAGTCCTGACTCTGGGACCAGCATAGAAGAGTTGGAACATTGTTTTCAGCAGAAATGTAGCCTTTATCTGTGGAGCAGGTGTTCAGTTCATTCAATGTGGGCTGTGGTTGTAGGAGGAATCAATTTCCTTTTTGTTTAGAATTTTCCTCCCAAACGAGTTACTTCAGATTGCCACCTGTTATCAACAACTGAAAATATAAAATAGAAACAAAAGTCTATTTTTCTGGAATATTTGGTGCAAACAATTGATTCTTGTAGCTCATGTTGTCAAAATTGTGGCCATTTTCAGTTAACGCCTATTAATCATGAATCTTTTAAGAAATGTCCTTATTATATCAAATGTTCAAACAAGGCCTCTGAATTTTACTGGCTTTTTTACTTCAATTTAATCGCATGTCATCCGTCTCAAATTTCAACTTTTTAATCACAATAATTATAATTAACCAGACTTTTACTAGTCAAAGATTCATACAAAATAACATACTGACTGACAATTAAAAATATGAGGCAATCCAATAAGATTTAAGTTTATCCCTCCAATAATAATATTTAACTAATCCTTGTCATGATTACTTTTTAACACCTCCTCTCTGCTTGTGGAGCAGTCCTCAGTGTGCAGTAAGATCATAGAGCTGCTGGGACAGAATGAGATCGACCACCACCAGAGGCAAGTGGCCATCCTCAGCCAGGACAGCTTCTACAGAGTCCTCACACCGGAGCAGAAGACCAAGGCCCTGAAGGGACAGTTCAACTTTGACCACCCAGGTAACTCCAGAAAGATAATATGGCCATTTGCTTAAAGTTCCCACTGATAAAATACGGCAATAGGCAAAAGACATGCGCTAGACAAGTGGATGAAAAATTATATTGTTACACTTGTCCTTCAGTTACTTTTACTGTCAAAGATGATGTGAAATACCAGGTCTATCTGATCCTGACAAAGGTATAGCACAAGAAAACTAAAACGTTTTTTTTTTTAAATTGTATTTTTAAGACAACTTTGGATCATTTATTATTATTATTATTATTATTATTATTATTATTATTATTACAAACTTGTTTCTCTTCCCAGATGCGTTTGATAACGAGCTCATCGTTTCAACTCTGTGTGACATCAAAGCTGGAAAAACGGTTCACATACCAGTCTATGACTTTGTGAGCCACTCCAGGTAAATTTAAAAGGTTCAAATGTTTTGTGCATATTTTTCCTTTTATACTATACTTTTCCTAAGCACACTCAAGGAACCACCACCCTTTACAACCTCAATCGCTTCACATTACGTATGTGAAGCTCGCAGTTATTTTTTATATTCACTGTACTGTATTGATCAATAAATGTATCAATAAAGTATTTTGTTAATGTTAGGAAAGGAGCCAAAGGCCTTTTTATAAAAAAATAAATAATAAGTTTCATCTTCTTGCCTTAAAACAGTTCCAGTTGTTGCGAGGGAATAAATAACCTCTTTGGTTTATCATGCATGTGTTTGGCTTCACAACCATGTATCCGTTATAAAATGTATTCTGTGATGAAAGTCCTGGTGTGTTTGTGTGCGTGCAGGAAGCAGGAGGCGGTGACCGTGTACCCGGCTGATGTGGTTCTGTTTGAAGGGATCCTCATGTTTTACTCTCAGCAGATCAGGGACCTGTTCCAGATGAAGCTGTTTGTAGACACAGACGCAGACACACGCCTCTCCAGAAGAGGTACACAAAAAGTACACCACAAAAGGCCGACAATACAAGCAACATGTTGACTTTCTTGTCACTGAGAGTTCCTGTGACATGGCTGATTTGTGGAGGCAGTGGTACGGTGACTCATTCATGCACCGTCTGTCTATAACATGCACAATCATATTCTAGTCCTCCAGCCTGGAAATAAAGGCTGTTCGCAGCAGTGAGGCTCATGAGGTTCGTTCTGATGTTTTTCACTAGAACAAACTGTGGAACAACTTCTGCTCATTAGGCTTTAGCTTGTGCAAGTTTATCATTGTGGAGATTCATGAGTAAGACAGCAGAACTCAAAAAGGTTCTAATTCCCTGACTATAAACACTTGGTACTACTTCAGACATTTAGTTAAAAAAGTTGGTAGCACTTTTTTGTTACAACTTCCAGAGTCACTAATCACCAGAGTATGTGGGTCTGTTGGTCAGCTCCAGATTACTCAGTTTGGGGCAGACTTTGTTTAATCGTGCTATAATTTCACATTGTTTTTATTGGTTTGTGACAGCAGTGTTTGTGCAGGCTACAGAGAGTCTTGTTGATGATCTTTTACATGATCCGTGATGATGCATTTTGGTCATTTCTAACAAATGTCTAACAATCTCCAGTGGAATGTGCTAAGTTGATTTATCCCTTCATTGAATCTGTACCAGAAAACTAGTCTCACAAGTGCATGTTTATGGTTTCATCCCTTTCTCTTTGTAGTTCTGCGTGACATCAACGAACGTGGACGGGACTTGGAGAGCGTTTTGGCACAGTACATTACATTTGTGAAGCCCGCCTTTGAAGAGTTCTGTCTGCCTGTGAGTAGAAGGAACACACGTTATGCAGAACCAACATCCCTGAGCTTTAAAGAACATTACAACCACTAGATATGAATGAATTATCACTCAATCCTACTGGTACTTTTGAAGCCTGCTCTGAGATGCTTTTTGTGAATACACTGCAAAAAAGAAAAAAGTATGAGGCAAAAATGGCTTGAGTGTTTTTAATCTTAATCTGAGTACATTCTGACTGTCTTAAAACAAGATTTGCCAATGGGACAAAGCCATTTAGTCTTTATTTCAATAACTGTTACTTTTTTTTCTCATCCCAAGGGAGACATTTCCTGTATCTTATTAAAATTAGATTTTACGTCTTGTCCCATCGGCAAATCTGGTTTTAAGGCAGGTTTTAAGGCTCAAATTAAAGACCTTATGACGGGTTTGATTTATTTAGAAATACAGTTTTAATACCATTTTATATTAGAAGAGAACTACTAAAGGTTTCAAAATCAGTTATTGTTTTTTTTGTCTGATCCCCCCCAAATCGAAATAACCCCATAGCAACGCCCTTAGAAACGAAAACTTCACAGCCCTTGGTGACGTCAGAACGGGTACGTTTCAACGCTGTAAGTTGTTTACAATTTGGTATTCGTTCTTTTTTCGCGGATATTCAAGATGACAAGGCCGTGTACAGCGAGTCTAACATAAGTACTAGAGTGTAACATTTCGTTGTCACTGAGATAGTCCAGTGGTTGTGTCGTTGCACTGCCAATCCAGATACTTGGGTTTAATTCCCACCTCGGACACTTTTTCACACTCAAAACGGCAATTTATGTGTAGTGAGCAATTGTCACCTGTAGAGTGCAGTATTGTGTTGGGCATCAGTGGAGAGAAGAGAGAAAAGGCAGTCCTGTGGCATAGATCCATGGTTTTCAATGCATGGGCGTAACCCGCTATGACGTCACACACAGGTTAGAGCATAGACAACTTAAATTCATGAAAAACACGTTCTTTTTATAAAATATAGGATTTTTTTTGCCGGAATCTCTTTCAAATTGACATTGTCATGCAATTTTGATATCCACTATTTTTTTTTTTTAAACCCGTCATAAGGTCTTTAAGATTCATTTGAGCAATTTCCGACTTACTGCATTTTACAACCAAAGTCCCTCAAATCCCAATCTGTTAATTATTGATGAATCACATTTTGAACCTTAATAGACTGCTTGGTTTATGACTGCAGAAGGAAATGAAAAACATGTTTATGGTATTTTTAAGGAAACAACCTAATATCTAGCAGCAAGACATCTCTATGAAGATCTCTAGGGCCATGTATAAAATGTATAAAAGAAATCCCACATTCAGTGACGTACAACAATTACCACAACTACAGTACTTGCTGGAGTATTTGGAGCATAAATAAACCGCACCAGCTACATTTTAAAAAGTATTTATTGTCCACATATAGGCGGCACTGGACGTAAGCTGCAGGTTTTCAAGTTGTAATGTAACACTTAACAGTTGATCAGCAGAGAAAAAAACGCTGATATACGGTTACTGTAACTGGTAAGATAAGACAGACTTCATTGATCTCACACAGGAGAAATCACCATATTATTTAGGTTTTTCAATGCACTGTTAAAACATGCACTCTGGGTTAGAGTTGGTAATTCCTAATCTATTTTGACAATTGACGCATCAATAAATCCCATCAATACAAAAACTTGAGTCAAAATAATAAATGCATAAACTGTGCTGACAATAACTTTAATCACATAAAAACAAAAAGTCATGTGTATTTTCCTTGTATTGGCTCTCTACTGTTCACATAAACACCCCAGGAGGCGGAATGTGAGCAACGTCATCATCTCGAGATCAACAGCTAAACTACATTCCAGCGTCTGGGGAGCACTCTAAAATAAATCAAATGCATACGTAGGCCGCAAGTACTGTAATCGTTTTAATCCAGAGAATAATCTGACAACTAATCCATGTTCAAAATAAATGTTAAAGGAATAGGCCACCGTTTTTACATACTGACATATGTTCTTACCTTACCTTAGACTAGTTGATATGTACCTGCTTCTATTGACGGAAGTGAGCGGGAGAGAAGTCTTTAGGAGTTGCGGACGTAGCGCTCCTTGTATTATTACGCCTCACAATATAGTACCTCTTTTTATCTGCTGAGAAAATCGACATGTTACGTTTCTGTGTTACTTTGTAGAGTAACACGTCACGTAACAGTATTTAAATAGGGAACACGTGGAAGAGTTTGGTAGCTTCTAACGGGGAGCTGATTTGGAACTATACAGTATGTGGAAGAGGCTGCGTTTGTGCTCCGTTTGCATGACGGAGCGCACGGACAAAGACCAGACAGGTACATATCAACTAGTCTAAGGTAAGGTAAGAACATATGTCAGTATGTAAAAACGGTGGCCTATTCCTTTAATTACTGCCCTACTATATAGACTTCTTTGAACAGAGAGTCTATTCTTCATAAAAGCTTGTACTGAGCGTCCTTGGAAATAATCTTGAGGTATTTTTTTTTCTAGACAAAGAAATATGCAGATGTGATCATACCAAGAGGAGCTGATAACCTCGGTGAGTGGCTTTTTTGTTTCCAGGAAAAGGATGATGTGTTGACGGTGCGTCCCTGAGCTATCATGAAGGTTACAGCTGCTGACCCATGTAATGAGCAAAACGGTTATTCTGATCCTCCAAAAACTTCAGCCTAAACTTCAGCCTATTTTAAAGGGGGCAGGACTGCTGATAGTTTTTAGGAAAATTAGTTTACTTAAATACTACAGGATCTGTACTACAGGAGGATATGTTCAAAAACATGTTCCCATAAAAATAAATAGAATTGAATTTACAGATATCACCTTTTTTAATGGTGTATAGGGCGACAGTAGCTCAGTTGGTAGAGCATTGGCCTTAAGCCCAGAAGGTCGTGGGTTCAATTCAACCTCTGCACCTTCTCCACAGACTCCCACTGATGACTGCTGTCGTTGTGTCCTTGGGCAAGACACTTAACCCCACTTTGCCCAAAAGCTCCCACTGAAAGATCAAGGCTGTGCTCACACTCAGAGAGCAGCCGTCCTCCTGTGGACTCACCACCTGCAGAGGGTCAGTGAGGGGCTGGTGCTATGAGACTTGGGTGGCATCTGACTGCCACCCCCCTGACCCAGAAATGGATTAAAGGGTAGAAAATGGATGGATGGACCTTTTTTAATGCATTTTTTCAGATGCAACAGATGAGCTTTAAACAAAACTTGCATAAATATAACTATCTTTTCTAATAAGTCATGACAGCTATTGACGAGAATCTTAATTGCTGAATGAAACCCATGTCAGATTCCTCTCCAGCTTTGAAATCCACCATTTCAATCATTGTCAAACTTTTATAGACTCGCCACATTCATAAAATTATAGTCTGGGTTAATTTTCTGCTTTTAGGTACCTGCCCGATGTTTTGAACCCTCTGTTGTAGAGTGTGATAGTGAAACTTTACGTGTCTATGCTTTATTGTAGTGGAAAAAAAAAAAACTTTCATTGACACACGTTTAACAAACTACTCTTTGTCTTTGCAGTTGCAATAAACCTGATAGTGCAGCATATCCAGGACATCGTGAATGGAGGTTTAACCAAACGGCTGAACGGGTGGATCTGCGGGGCCAAAAAGCAGACCATCGACTCCAGCAGCCGGCCGCACTGACCCCGTCCGACAAAGGGGGCAGCACTGAGCACTGTCATGAGTTTGAAGACTTGACAGGAGAAAGGATTCTGTTTGGACTTAAATTGATTGAAGGGAGAACATTCCTGTTTTCTGTACATAATTATGTAAGTGTTGTTTTGAATGAATTCAAACACTAGAAGCCTTTAGGTATCTTTTCAAACCTGCGCCTCAGCACTGAAAAGCCCAGTGCCTAAAACTACTTGAATCTTCAACTATTCAATAATCCAGCTGTGCGCTCGCCTTATTCAAGTTCACTTTGTGAGCCCAAAGAGCAGTCAATACATGTAGTTTTTCAGGAGCTCTAAGAGGCCTAATGTATGTTTTTCTTGTTTAAGTTATTGAATAATGAAACAACCAATTCTCACCTCAGATGTCACCAAAGACACCTTTTGTTAAGATTTAACCACAGCAGTATTTACTTTGACTCAAACTGTCAGATTCATTAAAAACCTTTTATTTATATTTATTTTGGTACTTTGTGCTGTTCTGTGCATTTGTACATTATGTTCTCAGGTAATGTTAATACGGTTCTCTGAACAATATCTTCAAATTTCAAAGAAACCACTTGAATGCATTTCTATTTGCAATGTGACCATAACTTGATCTATTCACATTCATGATCTTTATAAAGTATTGCTTGAATAAAAAAACCTTTCGGTCACTTTGTCTCATTTCTTGGCTGTTAGTAAATAAGGACACTATTCACTGTAATACGACACATTTATTTCTGAAACAAGCTAGACTGTGTCTAAGCCAGAACAAAGACATAATCCATCAATACATTTAAACAAGAATTTGCCAAATTAGTTTTTCTGGATGTTACATTTCCAGTGGGTCTGCACTACAAAGTTGATCATAAACTTACTATCACTCCCTGATCAAGTTCTGTCCAAAAAGTCCTCTGTACAGTTCACTCTTGGCTTCATCCGTCATGTCGCTGTGATGCATTGGAGCCATGAAGTTCACCAGTTTACTGTGAATGTGGAACCTGACTTTCCGCCCTTTACTTGCCTTAGTGTCCACTTTCTTTTTAATCTTACTCCTCAGTTTCTGTATTGCCAGCCACTGTTTGCCCATCGCCACCTGGTCATTGGGATCCGCTGCACTGGTCTTGCGCTCAATGAGCTCCCTTAATAATTGATGGTAAAAATCATCGTCATCGAAAATGTCCTCATCTAAATCTTTGAGATGCATGTTTGTTTTCACCAGTTTTTCCGGTTCCTCTTCTAACGTTGCAATTTCTGAGAACAAAGCACCTTCTTTCTTTCCCATAACCTGATATTCTGAGCGGCGAGTCTGTGTACGCTTTATTAACCTATCTTTGTCCATGAGAACTTGCTCTATTTGCGTTTGTATATTTCTTTCAAACGCACCAAAAGCTTTGCTGGTTTTGCCCATGGTCAGCCTGGTTTTGTCCTGCCACTTTTGGAGCGTTGCGTTCTGGTAAGGCGTGAATGCTGCAAATCGCTTGCTCATAATATCTGGATATTCGGCCATTTCTAGTTTGCGTTTTTGAGGCTTGACATTTTCCATGGCATCACAATTATCTTCATCGCTTAGAATCTCTTCATCACTCTGCTCTCCCAGACTGAGGCCTCTTGTTTCCACATTTTGAACAAGCAGCTCATCGTGCAGCTCTAGTAACGATCTTTGAAGAGCTTTTAACGCTTTGTGAGAGTTTTTCAGTGCTCCCGCGTACTCCGCGTTTCTCTTGAATTCTGAGAAGGACGAAGGCTGAGGAAGCTGATTGGCTGAAACAACAGCTTTCTGGAATTTGATTCTCCCTTCGAGCAGCTGGTCCCACAAAGCAAGCTGGTTCTTCACGGCTAAACCTTTCTCCACCTCCTCGCTGACTTTGTCCTGAGAAAACGTCTGCACAGTGGAGTCGTCTGGTTCCATGTCATCTTCCTCAGAGCTTTCATCATCCCCTTCACTTTCATCCTCGACCTAAAAAAGAGATGGTAGTTTAAGGAAAAGCACATTATGCAGAACTACAAATACATTGTGTACATTTTCTTTTGCATTAAAAGGAACTATACCTGATTTTCTATTGAGTTCATGTATATAGTAATTCTAAGTATTTCTAAGTTGTATTCAAAACTGATTTAGTTGAAAAAAATTGAGCTCATTGATTAAGCATATGTATGACTTTAGGCCAGGGCGACAGTAGCTCAGTTGGTAGAGCATTGGCCTTAAGGCCAGAAGGTCGTGGGTTCAATTCCCACCTCTGCACCTTCTCCACCAACTCCCACTGATGACTGCTGTCGTTGTGTCCTTGGGCAAGACACTTAACCCCACTTTGCCCAAAGCCCCCACTGAAAGATCAAGGCCATGCTCACACTCAGAGCAGCCGCCCTCCTGTGGACTCACCACCTGCAGAGGGTCAGTGAGACTTGGGTGGCATCTCTGACTGCCACCCAGAAATGGATTAAAGGGTAGAAAATGGAAGGATGGATGACTTTAGGCCGTGCTAAGTGCTTAGTTGACATTTTGCGTGACGCTGTTTCTTCTCCATTTGCACGAGGGGTGGCGCTGTTGCAAATAGACCACATCCCAGTTTACTTGCGTGCCCAGAAAGTAAACGGAACAAGCATGGCAGCCCAAGGAGGATCAACGCAGAAAGTGTCTTTACCTCCTCTTCCTCACTTTTACAGCCAAAGAAGAGGGAACTAAAGCAAAAAATGACAAAAGAAATCAAGCCCAGGTGAATCTAGGTACATTGTATCGTCGCTAAAGAGACATGCATAACCGCCTCAGACTAAATTTGGACCCGAAACTGGCCATTTTTCTACTTGATAGGTATTTTTTCAACAATTGTACTGTATATTTTGTTAGCCGTGCGTGCGTTTAGTACCATATTCAGTGATTGTTGTACAGCTTACCGTAAGTTGTGCTAATGCTAATGTTTGCATACCTAACAAACTAAATGGCTAAAAGCTGCACCTAGCCTATGATTGAAAAAGAAAGTAAAGAAATCCTTTCCATGGAGAGAGTGGACAAGTCATTTGAGCTGCAACAGTGTCATTATGAAAAAGATGCATTCATAAAATCCCTTGACTACCTCCATGAAGTTTTGCCAAACTGATGCACATCTGCAGATTTCAGCACTTTTTGGTAAATAATGTATTGCAAGCGTGTCAGCGCACGTCATTTTGGCCACTTTTGAGCCCCCATTGTATTATACATGTGAATATTGATTTCCTATTTACATTTGCTTGTCAAAATGTCTAAAGACTGGACCATAAAGCTGGTTGGTCACTGTCATGTTTGTTTTCACCAGTTTCTCCGGAGATATGTATAATCATCTATCGTTTATATTCTTTTTCCACCTTAATGTCATTGGTGGACTTCATACTGCTAAATGTTATTTTGTTGTATGACAACATCTAATCTATGGCAAATTGATTTGTTACTATCCATTACAATCAAACTTTCTGCACAAGTTCCTTTTAAAATTATTAGTGTATTTATAGGGAAAATACCATGGATGTGGGATTCTGCTCGATATGTGGCACGGGTCTAAAGATATTGTAAAAATGTGCAATATGCATTACTTGGTGTTTATATTTTCCCTCTTTGTGTGGTAATATTGCTTTCACTTTTGTATTGTATTTAGGCAAGTCAAGAGCAGACCAGGAAAAGTACAGCACAAAAGACATTTGCAATCATTTTTAGTTTTGTGCAAAGATTTTTTTGAGTACTATATTGTTTTATGACAGTGTGCTAAAAAAAAAATCTATTTTGGTTGTAAAATGATTGTTTTTCTTTCTGTAGGACATATGGAGAGGTAACCATGTTACAGGAAAACATGAATGGGCTCTAGGAGCCTGTTATGTTCCTTTGTCAGACAGGGACAAGACTCACCGAGATACATTGGGGCAAAAAAGTAGTCAGCCACCGATTGTCATTATTTTAAGTGGGAGAACTTCCACAGAGGTCTGTAATTTTTATTCACAACTGTGAGACAGAATGTGAAAAAAATTCCAGGAATTCACATTGTAGAATTTTTAAAGAATTTATTTGTAAATTATGGTAGAAAATAAGTATTTGGTCACTTCAAACAAGGAAGATCTCTGGCTCTCTCAGACCTGTAACTTCTTAAAGAAGCTCTTCTGTCCTCCACTCGTTACCTGTATTAATGGCCCCTGTTTGAACTCCTTATCTGTATAAAAGACACCTGTCCACAGCCTCAAACAGTCAGACTCCAATCTCCACTATGGCCAAGACCAAAGAGCTGTCGAAGGACACCAGGAAAATAATTGTAGACCTGCACCAGACTGGGAAGAGTGAATCTACAAAAGGCAAGCAGCTTGGTGTGAACAAATCAACTGTGGGAGCAATTATCAGAAAATGGAAGACATACAAGACCACTGATAATCTCCCTCGATCTGGGGCTCCACGCAAGATCTCATCCCGTGGGGTCAAAATGATCATGAGAACGGTGATCAAAAATCCCAGAACCACACGGGGGGACCTGGTTAATGACCTGCAGAGAGCTGGGACCAAAGTAACAAAGGTTACCATCAGTAACATTACGACGACAGGGAATCAAATCCTACAGTGCCAGACGTGTCCCCCTGCTAAAGCCAGTGCATGTCCAGGCCCGTCTGAAGTTTACCATAGAGCACATGGATGATACAGCAGAGGATTTGGAGAATATCATGTGGTCAGATGAAACCAAAGTAGAACTGTTTGGTATAAACTCAAGTGGTCGTGTTTGGAAGAAGAAGAAGACTGAGTTGCATCCCAAGAACACCATACCTACTGTGAAGCATGGGGGTGGAAACGTCATGCTTTGGGGCTGTTTTTCTGCTAAGGGGACAGGACGACTGATCCGTGTTAAGGAAAGAATGAATGGGGCCATGTATCGTGAGATTTTGAGCCAAAACCTCCTTCCATCAGTGAGAGCTTTGAAGATGAAACGTGGCTGGGTCTTCCAGCAGGACAATGATCCCAAACACACCGCCCGAGCAACGAAGGAGTGGCTCCGTAAGAAGCATTTGAAAGTCCTGGAGTGGCCTAGCCACTCTCCAGACCTCAACCCCATTGAAAATCTGTGGAGGGAGTTGAAAGTCCGTGTTGCTCGGCGACAGCCCCAAAACAATCACTGCTCTGGAGAAGATCTGCATGGAGGAATGGGCCAAAATACCAGCTACTGTGTGTGCAAACCTGGTAAAGACCTCTAGTAATCGTTTGACCTCTGTCATTGCCAACAAAGGTTATATTACAAAGTATTGAGTTGAATTTTTGTTAGTGACCAAATACTTATTCTCCACCATATTTTGCAAATAAATTCTTTAAAAATCCTACGATGTGAATTCCTGGATTTTTTTTTTCACATTCTGTCTCTCACAGTTGAAGTGTAACCTGGCAAGAGCCAGATTGATGATTGTGTAGAACTCTAATGCGTTCTCCACATAATCAATCTGGGACTTCTGCAGGAGAATCCTTTCGGGGAAAGGAGGGATAAGCAGCAGAATACTTCAAGTTGATTTTTGCGAAGTGACGCTGTGTGCCCGCCTAACAAGGTTGCCGTTCAGAAATGCACAAACATCTTTGCCATCGAGAAATGCACAAAGCGCCTCTCGCTGTTCATCTTTCAAAAAAGAAATTGGAGATTCTGCTAAAACTGACTTGATAGCCTCAGCTACGCGTCCGTCCTCCTGCGTAGCCATGTTTGTTTTGGCGGGAGCGGGACAAGATGTATTTGAGTGTTTGTGAACTCACAAATACCGCGAGAATTCAGCTTGCAGGCAAGTTTAGTTTAAGTGGTTATGATGAAAATTACAAACCTCTGTCATTATTTTAAGTGGGAGAACTTGCACAATCGGTGGCTGACTAAATACTTGTTTGCCCCACTGTAGGTTTGAATGAACGCTGGGTGAGATGTGGGGAAGTTCATGACGTTAAGGTGTATGAGATGCATCTTATTTGATAAATTTATTGTACTAATGAATAGGTGGATGAAATTAATAAAGTAATGAACTGATTTTAGCAGTTGCAAGTTTTTCTAACGAGATATTCAATACATCTCTCCATTTCTAAAGCCTCTCAATGTAGTCACAACCGACTAGTTTTTAATGTTTTATAAAAGTAATCAATTCATCCTAATTTCCTAATCCTAGTTTCCCAGGGAAAGGAGTACATGGAGGGCTTTTACTGCCGATATGGACACATGTTTAGATTTGTATGTACAACTTTGCAATTAAAGAATATTTTACATATATTCGAGCACCATATTCAGCTTGTGTAAGTACATGGAAAACCGCTTTGTAATATTTCAATATACATTTTGTCAATTCTTCCACATGTGAAGTAGATGCAAGGAATCCAAATTATTGTTAACCTTTATTGGAAATACACTTCAAAACAAATGCACACAAAAACCCTAAATTCAAATACAGAGAAACATTACAGTCTGCCTGGAATAAACTCCACGTACTGGTGGAATGGATCCGGAAATTTGTCTCTGATCCTCCACACACAGCAACTCGGAATGACAATTCTGTTTTCATGCTCCAATGCTCCATATCGCCAAACAACATATTGGCGGTATGCTGCAAACCGTAATTGTCGGTTGTCCACTCCAGGCTCTGGCGGGTCGTAATGAGCCCGGACGTCATCCCAAATTGTCTTTGCTAAACGAAGAACACCCGCATCCAGGATGTACAGCTCCATTTGTGGGAGTTGTGAAATGCAGTCTGTTTTATCTTGCCCACAACATTTTCTTTCTATGTCTTTGGGCATCTCTCTGCATCTCCCACAAACACACCATTTCGGTTCTTTTGGTGCTTGAGGGGCAGCAGTGTCAGCAGAACGATATGCAGCCAGAACGTCATAAAATATGCCAGGCTTCCTGTTCAGGCACTTCCTCAGAAGATCCTGGCACTGTTGCAGATTTAGAGAATGGATTAAGCCCTGAAAAAAAAATTGTTCATTTTTAATTTTATGAAGCTATATCTACAATATCTGGTGTAATCAATACTAATTTTAGTAACTAACTTGTACTACTTTGTAATGTACTTATTTACATTAATAATAGAGATAAATAAGTTAATAACAAGCATAGCCTACGCTTTTAATTATGCAAGGCAGGCTGTGTAAGTCATCATACATAGCATTTATATATGCACATAATGCTAATAAATGTTACAGTGTTCAGAATATTTGACCCTAGTTGGATAAAGTAACAGGGTCTTACCTTCTCATACTGGATCCGATTGCGCCGCAGTTCACGAACTCGATCCAGGTCATCCAGGTCATCAAACACGTGCCGTTTCCTTTCCTCTAGCTCAACGTCTGGGGCAGCATCTTGATCACGGCCACGTTTTGTACCGCAACCGTGTCTTCTTGGTCTGCCTCTGGTAGCTTTATCGCGACTGCCTCCCTGACCCTATATCGTGTTTCACACACATATATATTTACAGTGTAATCTTATCACACATATCTGTAGCAATTAACGCACACAATTCAGGTCAAACAATTATATGAAACTCTTTACATCACAAGATCACTTACGATTAGGGCTGGGCGATAATACTATATTATATATATACTATACTATATATATTGCGATAGAAAACGGGGTCGATAGAACTTCGATAGTTTAACTTCACTCAGTTGGAAAAACGGGAAGAAAACACAGGAAGTAAAGCGAAGTCAGAAGCGCACGGCATTGTGGGGGATGTAGGCAGAGGCTTCTCGACCAATAACAGCCGAGCAGGAACCGCAAAACTTTATGGGAAATGCAAAAACACCAACAACCGCACCATGCGTAGCGTCCATGGATCTATAGCTTGTGTTTAAATGCCGTGTCAATGGTTATGCACGTACGTGCGCGGAATAACATGTGCGGCGGCAGAGGCAGTGGACAGACCCGATGTATTCGGCAAAAGCAAGAGATCAACTTTTTCCTCGGGAAGCATGTGCGGCACAGAGAGTCGCACGGAGCGGTCACGGGGACACAAGACCCTCGAAAACAGCTAAACCAGGAATAAAAAACCAGGATTAAACCAGGACTAACAACGAGGGACACAGTGTGAACATATTCCTCCAGCCTCATTCCCCCGTGACTGTAAACATGGCTGCTAAGGTTGGTTAGCCCACACAACAAATGTATTTATTTAGGTAAAAAAAAAAAAAAAAAACTCAATATATCATTATTGACCGATATGAATGACTTATATCGTGATATAGTTTTCAGCCATATTGCCCAGCCCTACTTACGATCATAGTTGAAAAGTATTTAGTAAAAGTAAATATTCTTAATTATGTGGTGCAATTTTGTAATTTACGGTTACAATACTACGGTAAGCCTGACATGCTATTATTATCATTATTATTATTATTCAATAACGATAAGTGCTTAGAATTGTACGTTTTAAAACTCCAAGAGCCATCTGGGCTCGTGCATGCGTATGAAAATACACGTACACGTGCATATTGAGTGGGGGAAGAGTAGGAGGGCTTCCCAAAATGAAAAGCCTGAGGGAGTGGTGCTAAAAATTCAAACTGAAAAAAATAAATAGCCAAATCGGGTATTGCTCTTTTAAATATTCAAATTTTAATTTATAAGTAGCTTAATTATATGAAAAGCAAAAGTTTGTGTGATAAGGCCATTCCATCAGGTGTGCTCAGGGACCCAATTCTTAAGTTATTAATTAACTTAAGATAAACGACTTGAACAGAACACACTTTTTACCTAATGATAAAAATAATAAAAAATAAATTGTATTTAAAAGCAGAGTTTGAGGAGCTGAAGTTTCTAGAGGGATTTGTTGGCGAGACCAACATGGATGGAATTGCAGTAGTCAATTCAGGAGGTAACAAGGCTATGGACAAGAATGACTGATGGGTGGGTGAGGGGTGGAGACGGGAGATGTTAAGGAGGTGTAAGTAGGCAGAGCGGGTGCTGTTATTAATGTGAGCGTGGAAAAAACTCTTATAATGTCTTACCTCGTCTTCCTCCCCCTCGCTCATTCCGAGGTCGTCCATACCCTCAGTCAGTTTGCGAAAATCTCCCTTTGGAAAAGTCACTTCAGATTCATTCAGATCTTCACCATCTTCATTTAAATCGTCGTCCATCTCTGACACTTGAAGCGCTTCTTCGTTTGCTTCTGCCTCCTCTTCATTGTCGTCATCGTCTTGGAGAGGACAAATTATTCATAAAAGTACAAAAAAAAACAATCTTCATACACACGTTGGACTTAGATTGTGACCAATTAAACATGTTCTAATGCAATTACCTGCTTGTCACTAAGGAGATATTGTTTTAGGAATGGAAGTAAGTAAGTTATGTAGGAAACGTTTTTCAATTTCAATTACAATTTTCAATATTCAATTTTCAATTACACAGTAATTATATTTCAAACAATGCAACATTTTTGGTAAAAACGGTTTGGTGTTGGAGTTACATCCAAAGAACCTATTGTGCATGGGGGTAGAAAAATCATGCTATGGGGCTGCTTTTCTGTACCATAAGGCACCATGGCAACTTATCCGTGTAAAGGAAAGACTGACTGGGGACATGTATCATGAGATTTTGAATGAAAGTCTCCTTCCACCAGCAAGGGTATGAAGATGAAAAGTAGTTGGGTCTTTCAGCAGGACAAAGATCCCAAACACGCCGCCCGGGCAATGAAGGAGTAGTTTCATAAGAAGCATTTCAAGGTCCTGAAGTGGCCTTGCCAGTCTCCAGTCCAGATCTCAACCCCATACAAAATCTTTTGAGGGAGTTGAAAGTTTGTGTTGCCCAGCGACAGCCCCAAAACATCACTTCTCTTGAGGAGGTCTGTAAGGAGGAATGGGCCAAAACACCAGCAATAGTGTTGCTGATATTTACAGAAAACGTGTGAGCTCTGTCATTGCCAACAAAGGGAACAGAACAAAGTATTGAAATGAACATTTTTTATGGACCAAATACTTTATTTCCACCGTTTTTTGAAAATACATTTTTTTGTATCAGACGCGATTCTTCTTTTTTTCTCATTTAGTCTCTAACCTCAACAACGATGACAATTACAGAGCTCCTTCATCTTTTTAAGTGGGAGAACATGCATAATTGGTGGCTGACTAAATACTTTTATGCCCCACTGTAAGTAACACGCAACTGACATCCTCAACCGATAATATACCTTAATATCATAGATAGAAAATTGCGTATTGCGTCAAATTAACACGGATTAGTACGCATTTAATACACATAGCACAGTATTCATAACAAGAGGAAGACGAGCCTTACCTTCATCATCATCATCATCATCATCATCATCATCATCATCATCATCATCGTCGTCTTGTTCTTCTTCCTCGGACGCCCCCATGTCCTGCATCAGTTGTTTTCTGGACACCGCTTTGCCTGCATATCTACTGTCCGAGTCTGAGAGCAGAGAGACGGCCTGTTTCCTCAGGGAGCTCGGGGCTAGTTTCCCTTCTCCGTCCTCCTCTTCATCCTCATCTTCCGCAAACTTTTCAACAACTCGGGCTTTCGTCTCCTCGTCGCCATCATCTTCAGGATCTAAAAATTTAGGCTGTGGGTGAAGTAAATCCTCCAATTGCTGAGAAATGGAGCCAGACATTGTGAAAAGTTGTACAACATTCACACGTGTTGTTCGTTTCTTTTCACCAACGGAGGCGCAGGATGATGACGTTTATTTAAGCGACAAACTACACATTAAACCCGTACATTGGTCTTCGAACTCATGCTATGCCATGTTAGACATCGTTTAATTCTTGATGTCATTTGGAAAAGCAGGCTTGTTGTGTGTGTTAGTTTGTTTGTGTGCTTGTTTTTTATTGCAACCCTAACCCCCACGTTATGTTTATTTATGAGTAAATGTTCATTGTGTATAAGGGAATACTTATTTTGGGGGCTTCAAATCCATTAAGGTCCCCTACTCATCTGCCATTTGCCATGTGATCAAAAAATAAATTGGTAACTAATACATTGAATTTTTTTTATCAATATTTCTTACAGAGGACGCAATATTTGAACATTCTGAAAATACTAAACGAAATGCTTGCGAAACCATAAAGAGACCAGACTAAATATTTGTTGCGAGACACAACTTCGGGGAAAAAGTTATCCCCGGAACTCAATTCTCTACGCATGCGCAAACAGTTAGGGAGAGCAGACCGTCGCTGTTAGCTCAGTGTTGTCCCGTGTTCCAACAAAAAGAAACGCAGTACACAGCAAAAATGTCCACGAGCGACTTTTATCTGCGGTACTATGTTGGGCACAAGGGAAAATTTGGACATGAGTTCCTGGAGTTTGAGTTCAGGCCAGACGGTAAGTTTGCTTTTGGCGGTAGTTCATACACGGTAGCACGACTGCGTTTGCTACGTGCTAACTAGCCACGATTTTGTAGGCCTCATTACTCACAAACTCAATTTGCACCAGATTATTATAGATATTGTTAATGCCCAACCTCTCCATTAACTCTACAAATATTTGCCTTTATGAATTGTTTGTCTGGAATTGGCTACAATCCCCTTAGTGTGGTATCTGTGGTACCTTAGAATGAATGACTGTACAATGAAAATTCAGTGTTGATCATATTTTTTTCTCAGGAAAACTGCGGTATGCAAACAACAGTAACTATAAAAATGACGTCATGATCCGAAAAGAGGTATACAAGTATATATCATTATAAACAGTGCGTAATGCATGTTTCAAAAATATTTAATAAATGGAATATTGCAGGCATATGTACACAAGAGTGTTATGGAGGAGCTGAAAAGGATAATTGATGACAGTGAAATCACAAAAGAAGACGATGCTCTATGGCCACCTCCAGACAGAGTTGGCAGACAGGTTTGTAGAGTTTGTTCTGCAAGTAATATTGTATATCATATAATTTATAAATTCAAATTTTATAATTAAAAAAGTACGTTATTGCAAATGCACTGATTCTGCATTTGTATTATTTACAGGAACTGGAGATTGTTATTGGAGACGAGCATATTTCATTCACAACCTCAAAGATCGGATCCCTTATTGATGTCAACCAGTCCAAGTGAGTAGTGCTTTCGTGAAACTTGTTAGAAAGATTTGATTGCCGTGATTTTAAAACTGCCTCCTTGTCTGTCTTAGGGACCCAGAAGGCCTGCGTGTTTTCTACTACCTGGTTCAGGATCTCAAATGTCTCGTTTTCAGTCTAATTGGACTTCACTTCAAGATTAAGCCAATCTAAAACGTTTTACTGTCTGGTCATTTTACATGCTTTAGCTATTTTCCCTCTCAGATCTTGTTTGTAAATTTGCCTTTTGGTGGAATTGTTTTTTTATTTTAAATAAATACTGGAAAACACATTTGTTAAAAATCCTAGTGTCCTCTTCATTTTATTCAATGTTTAATTAAACATTCACAGAAAACAGTACGGCTGTCAAATAGTGATTTTAAATAACAATGCTTTGCTTACTGGATAAGGCAGTTTTAGCTCTACTGCACAAAGCGATGGCTACTATGTACATAATCTTCAGGGATAAAGTATTTCCTTCCATTAGCTTAGTTATTTTACAGTGTTCTAACTAAGTGGCTTCCCTCCCACCACTGTAAAAATGTCCTCCAAAGACTTGTGTACGCACTGAAGAAACTCATGCACGTTTCGAGATGGGTATGAGGACACGTTGCAGCCAATCCAGTCGTCATGGACGCCGTACCCCACTCCAAAGCCATCTGGGACAACCGGTGCAAAGCCCCCCAGGTTCACCGCTGGACTGGTGAGGGTGCTGGTGGACAGGATGTTGTGGTTGATGGAGATGTAAGCTGGGTCAGAGTAGAGGCTGTGCAGGGGCTCCCCCTGAGAGTTGGCCAAATATCGTAGTGCAAAAAGGTGGCGGTCAAAGCCTTGGCCTGGAAGATTAAAGATGGAATTTATTAAAGGAAATGTGTCTATAATGCAGTAAGTAGCCTGGTACAAAATGGCTTATTGTGTTTGAACGGTTGGATTTTCTGATCTGTGTTGGCAAATTCAACGGTTTTGTAAAGTCCTGAGATAACTGTTTTGATTTAGGGCCATACAAGAATACATTTAATTGAATGTGGTTTTTGAAGCACATGTGAACTAAAGACAAAATGAATCTTTTTGAATCATCTCAAATGTGCAAAGTTTTAACATAGAGCTTATTCCAATTATGATTAAGATCCTTTTTGTCCCACAGTGGGGAAATTTCAGTGTTGCATCACCAGTTAGACAAGTTAGAATGAGGAGCATGCAGTTAAAGATAAGTTAACAATAACTACTAAAACAACTTAATCTCAAACCAGTATAAAATACTGTATATATTTGTGTAGTCATGGTAAACAAACATTGTAATAATCTGAAAACCAAAAATATTCAAAAGGTAGATAAAATCTTTTGAAAATGTTTTAACAATTTAGTTGGATCCAGGCTTCAACCTGATTGTTTAGCAGTGAATAATACAGATAACTGACTTTGTGTCTTTAATCTTAGTTCCCTGCACCAGTCAAAAAGACCAAACGAAAACAAAATGATAGCTGCTAAAGTGTGTATGATAAACTTTGTAATACTGACCCATGGCTGCCTCTTTGGTGAGCTGCCCGTGGTACTTAGAGCACTCGTGGAGCATGGCCTTCAGTTCCTCCACACTGTGTTTGCCGGGTTCACACACGAAAGCGTGAGCGCAGCGTTTTGTGTGGACGGTGGCGGGTCGGATGGTCTCTGTACGCCCGTGCTTGAAGGCTGCAGTGCTACAAGACTCGTACGTGGCCACAGTTTGCCCATACTGCCTCAAAAAGCCCATCTGAAAGGCCAACTGCGCGATGGCATCTGGACTCAACTTGCTTTTTTTCAACTGCTCCTTGCCTCCCATTTTAAACTCCATCGCATCTATCGTCAGCTTCGAGATGGCTGCGTCAAAGTTCTCCTTGGCTTTTTGAATGCCGCTTTCCAATTCGCTGTTCAAGTTAAAATGCAATCTTTGTACAGCAGTGGATGAATCTACAGAGGCAGGGCTAGAGCCGGGGTTCACCAGTGGCTTTTGGGTTGTGTCTTTAAATACTTCGTTTTGAAATCTCAGCACGGCCACTCCATCTCCCCACGAATGCTCAAAGTTGATGGCCGCGTTTCCGTCTTTGGCTATGATGATGCTGAAAGACTTGTCGTACCAGCGGTTGCACCCGTCTCCGTGAAGCATATTGTGAGAAGTGTGAATGTGGTCCTTCATAACTTCATCGTCGAGGGAGAGGCAAAACAAGGCGCTGTCCACAGTCTGCAAAACTCCTCCATTCCCATTGGCGACTAGCTTCTCTCGAAGACCTGCCCATACGTCTCTGTTCTCACTCGTTAGCACGCCGATTGGACTGGAACATGCTGGAGTTTCATCCGACAGAATGTATTTCAAGTGGGAATGAATCTCAGCCGGCTTCACCAAATTCCCGTCTTGACCCACGATGTCAAACGCATACAAGTTGCCTTTCCGCATGACTAAAAGATGCCTCCCTTTCTCGTCTGTAAACAACTCGTCTCGCCCCAGTTTCGGCAACCGAGAAGAGTTGAAAAGGCGGAAATACTGAGACATGTCCAGCGGGTAGGCGTTGACCATGTAGGCTCCGTACCAGGACAGAGAGGAGGGAACCCAGCGGATGAAGCGTTTGAATTGATCGGTGTCGCTTTTGGCAGGATTGAGGTGGAAGACTTCTGGTTCTAAGATGCCTGCTCTCAGAGTCTTCATGAAGCGGACGGCGGAGCAGACCATGTTGGTGGAGCGGAGGAGCTGCTCGTTGTACTCTGGTTTAGGATCGGGGTTGAAGGACATGAAGGGGTTGAAGTTGAGCACCACAGAGTCCCGTGCGGAGAGGTACATGTCAAACCAGGGAGCTGGAAGACAATCGTGTGGGTGAGGACAGTATAAATGTGGGTTTGTAAAACATTTAGCCTATTTCAACATCGTTACTGCTTTCAATTGTATTCAGCAATGATTTGATATCATATGATCTTGCATTGAAACTATTTTTGTTGATTGATTTCCCGGTGACAAATGTTTCCTGAACTTTTATTGCTTGTTTTAATTTATATATTTGTCTGGTGCACATGTATTCCAATGTGGTTTTACTGCAAATGGAAAATAAAATGAATCTGAATCTATTTTGGGTTCCAGAACACCTGGCTTAAATGCATTGGTTGTAGCAGCATGCTCCATCTACATAGATTCTTTCCACAGGGCGACAGTAGCTCAGTTAGTAGAGCATTGGCCTTTGAGCCAATGCTCAAGGGTCGTGGGTTCGAGCCCGACCTTCACCATCGACTCCCACTGTCTGCTGTCGTTGTGTCCTTGGCGAGACACTTCACCCCATTGCCTAGAATGAGTCTGGTGTGTGTGTGAATGGTTGGTGGTGGTCGGAGGGGCCGATGGCACATACTGGTTGCCTCGCTTCTGTCAGTGTGCCCCAGGGCAGCTGTGGCTACAGTAGTAGTTCATCACCACCGTGTATGGAGTGAAAGAATAATGACATGTGAAGAGTCTTTGGGTGTCCAGAAAAGCGCCATATAAAACCGATGCATTATTAAAGTTATCACAGCTATTATACAATTCATATTTTAACATTATTGAATACCCGTTGTTGTAGGATCTAAATTAACACCTTTACTTTGATGCACTTAATCTAACCTTTCTAAGTAATCACATTTTTCAAAATAAAGGTAAATTTCTACCAGAGATGTAGCTTGTGTGCTTATTCTGTTTGTCCTGGGCGACCAGTTGTTCGTGCAGCTGCTTTCCCACTCCATTCTTAAAATCCTCTGCAATTTTCTCTGTGTTTCTGCATGAACAAAAACTGTTAGTGCTCGTTTATCATCTAACAATATTTTTTTCTATACATACCTGAACTGGTTGTCATCCAGAAGAGGTCTCTGTGCAGCTAAATATCGTTTCATTGTATCCTCCAGTTTGGGCACTGGCAACCTAAGGACAACAAAGGAAAAGGTATAAGTGATGCATTATGTTGAGACGTGGAGGAATTAACAGAGGAAATGTGACACTCATAGATTGGTACACCACCATTAAAAAGTATTTTAATCACATTTAGTTTGTTCAAATAGAAAGAAAGAAAACAGTCCACAACATCAAGCCTTTATCTTACTAAAAAATACTTTGCATACAAAAAAGGCCTTGTGAGTCACTCATTGGCCCTTTGGGCTAAGAGAGCATCATCACATCTTTCGTCAGATGTAATGTGAAAAAGGCTTGGATTGAAAATTAGGTACCCCAGGTTTAAGCCTCAATAAATATATATTTATCAGATGATGTGTCTTACTTTATTAACCATATGAATCCCATTTCAGAGACCTCTTTTACGGATATCAAATAAAACATACAACAAATGTAAGCTGCACCATTTTAAATTGAACAGTTCAATAATGTTAGTTGAAGCCTGCCAATGTGCCATCTCTACTATGTTTAGGAGTCTGTAAGTTAATGTAATCATGTTTTTGTTCATGTTTCTTATCAGATACACGCCTATATCCTGGATAAGGGAGTATTTATTTCACGATTGCACTTTTGCTGTAATCAATGAGAAAAACTGAATTCACTAATACCCCACACTTATTACTGTCTCATGACCACAGCTCATTACTCCCTCTAGCGGCCGAGCTCAACAACTGCTGCGCACTTTCACCTACATTCAATCGCCCCGTCAAGTAACAAATAACTCTGAATTCTCATTACAGGATATGTATAAATAATAGAGACGAGAATGATTACCTGGGCAGGCTCTTCTGGTAGTGCATAGACGGAACCACGCTTCTGTGCAGATACTCGGATGGTTCGCTGCTGTATTTGCGTCCATTGATTGTTATTGCTCTTGCATGCATCACACTTCCACATTTCTCAACGCAGCGAATGCTCTTCAGTGAGATCAGTTTAGCCATGTTTCAAGTTATCGATCAGTCTTTCATACAGCGAATGTTAAAGAGATTGAAGTCGGGTGACACCAAGAAGATGGCAAGGTAACTAAGCTAGCCAATGATTAGCCGCAAACCCAGCCACCGCTGATCTCTTATAGCCGACCTTGATGAATACAGTGTCGCTTTTCGTCGAGAAATGCGGTTGTTATAATCTTTACGAGGTATAAGGTTATAATTAGCGGGATTTCTTGTCACATTTCCGACATTTACCTATGAATTGATTCCAGGAAGTTGAACCGGTGAAACATGCCACGTGACTGTGTTGCCTTATGGGAGTTGTAGTTGTGTGGGTTTTGTTAATATACTTATACTAGATCTGTGGTTTTGTACTTGCTCCAGATGTGTTGGTGGTGGAGGGTCCGCTTTTTGGCTTGAATTTATCTAAAAACTGGTTATCAACTATAATTAAATTCAAGCAAGGGAAGTGTGGTGCCACCTTTACAGTCTATGGTGCCATCACGCCTGGTCTTACCATGGATCTATAATAATAACCCATAGACTGTAAATTGTTTTACCCCATGGTCTTACCACGTACAAATTTAATTTCGTTATTGATCGGAGTTTAGGGATGGCCAAGGCCAGGCTACGGCAGGTAAAGGCCTTGACTGTAAATATATTAAACCAAGCAAAAGGAGTTTCCCTCTCCCTGCAATGATTGCACTCAATCATTCATTGTAAATAAAAAGCAAAAATAGTTAACTTGAGCAATGCAAATATTATTGTCTGGAGCTTTTGAGTTGTGAGACCATTTCATGTATTTTTTTCATTCACATACAAAGTTAAAGCCTTCAAAAATATTAGACTTCAATTTTTTGTTTTACAATCATCCACTTATTCTAAATTTAAAGGTGCATTAAGCTACCCCTCATTTACTACAAGGTCAAAGGTGCTAAATCATCTTTCTTTTAACATAAAACTTTGCAAAATGTCCCTTTTTTAAAACCGTATCTCGAGAGTCGTCACTGTCACCAGCAGAGGGCAGGAGATCACTACACTTTGAAACTATAGACGCCTTCCCATTTCAGACCATGACCTGTTTGTTTCCACGCATCCTTGAAAATACAAAGCAAATTTCGTAGAAAAAGTTATGAGTAAACTATTTTTATTAAGTAGGGGGGAATATGAAAAATTAGGACTGAAAACATACTGGGGGGAAGTTTCTATACTGCATGTAACAGGAACTGGAGGAGATCAATTCTGAGCATATGGAATGACGCCTTCATTTCTATTATCATATTTGGACAGTTTAATAACTTTACATATAACTAAGACATCTGTAACCCATTTCATTTACATCTTAATATGTTATTTTTAATTTAAAGTTATATGACAAATTACTAAAAATGATTAAACCACATACCATGCACATCCCAGTGTTTATGTTTTCCTCTCTGCTCAGTGACTGCAGTTGTGGAGGTGTGAGAGTAATGTGCCCGGACGTCGCAGTGTGCGCTCCCATAATGTCAGGGCTGAGTGGGGATCCGTGCTGACGTGCCAAGGGCCTCTCTCCACGACGCACGGCCCGCTCTTGTCCACTCCGATCAGCGCTGTCCACGGCCTCCCTGCCTGACCTACATCCACCCTCTGCTGCTGGCTGAGGCTGAGTGAGACGTACGGGCCAAAGATGCAGGAGGTCACAGCACTGCTCACCACGACGCCATGAGGAGAGAAGACAGAACATACTTAAAGCTGGGGTACCTAACTTTCCATCTACAACAAACAACGTGCACTTGTCAGCTGCATTCAGCCAATAAACTCTCAAACCAAAGTGTCAAATAGCGACTCACAGGGTTATTTAATAAGGTCTCTTTCTTTTTAGACAAACATTATTTGTCCACTGAAAACTAAACCTTACTGGTTGTAAATAATGTATAATGTGGGGAAATTAAGTTAGCGGAAAAAATAATATTTCAAATATAACCTGTATATGATTGATTATTCAACAGTGGCTTAGTTGGTTGAGCATTGGCCTTTAGGTCTAAAGGTCGTTGGTTCAAGCCCACCACACGACCAACTTCATGTCTCCCACTGATGTTTGCTGTCGTTGTGTCCTTGGGCAAGGCACTGCTTTGCCTGAAGCCCCTGCTGAAAATATCAAGGCTCCTGTGGACTCACTACCTGCAGGAGGATCAGGAGGTGCTATGTGTACTGGGTGCAGCTCTGACTGCCACCCCCCAATCCAGAAATGGATTAAGGGGAAGAAGATGGATGGATGATTGATTATCCGTCCATGCACCCATGTTCTTCCGCTTTTTCCAGGACTGGGTGTGGATGCAGCTTCTCGGTTCTGGTCATACTCGGTGATCAATCCTTACTCATTATGATTCTTTTGTGCACTTTATTGTCCCCGTAGGGAAATTGGTCCTCTGCATTTGACCCAGACCTGAAGCCCCTAAGGACTTCCAGAGCTTGAGGATTTTACCTATTGTGCATGTTTTTAGTGGTACGGGAAACTGCAGCACCCTGGGGAAACCTACGCAGACACGAAGAGCATGCAAACTCTAATTAGAAACCCTGTTTCGACTAGAATTCGAACCCAGGACCTTCTAGCTATCCACTCAGCCACTGAAGGTGCACTGAACATTTCCCTGTCTGTGTCTGGCAACCCTCCCAGTCACACTGCCATAAGTGCAGTCTACATTGACATCACACACTCTGCAGCCCATGGAGTAGATGTGTAAAAAGTACAAAAAAAGACAAACTTCACTAACTTCACTTTTATTTGGCTGTTTGGTTTAGCAGTTCTTTTGGCACCCCGTTTGGTTCACTCTGCTTTGTTAGAATCACTCTGGATATGTTTACTCATGGCTGTCAATAGTAGCAGCGCTCATTTCGTAGCATTAGATCATGATGTCACTGAGTTTAGTCAAAGTAAAGGCTGCATACTTCCCTATTCTTCTCTGTACTACGTTACGAAAGTGTTGCTTATCAGAAATAAAATATTGCAAGCGGTTCCATCTGTGTATTTTTTGTGTATTGTCAACTTTAGCTCTTTATCAAGTAATACAAAATATTAAATTAAATCAAAGTCTGATCTGCTGCACTTTTTACAGTGAGACCCGTGCTTAACTACAGAGGACCCCTGGAACCGTATACTTCTCTGTTATCTCAAATATGCAACGCTAATGATCCCCTGCTGATCAAAGCCTGAAGTACAGGGGCTGTGAAGAGAAAAAACAGAATTCTCTTAAATTAAGAGATCCTTTATTCGTCCCACAGGGGGGAACTTTCAGTTTTGCATCAAAAGTTACAGAACAGTAGGAATGTGAAGCACACAGCAAAAGATCATTTAAATTAAGTGTAGCGTAATAAAGAAACAAAGTATATTAAAATAGTATCCACATATAAGGTATAAACTTGTATACTCCAGTAGTGCCAATAAATATGTACGTGTAGGTATAAATCTATAGATAACTATGCCAAGTTTATTTGTAGAGCACAGTTCATACACAAGGCAACTCAGAGTTCTGACTAAAACAAGAAAAGAAACATTAATATCATGTATGGGCGGCATGGTGGCTGAGTGGATAGCACTCTCGCATCTCAGCAAGAAGATCCTGGGGTCGAATCCCGGTCGGACCAGGGCCTTTCTGAGTGGAGTTTGCATGTTCTCCCCGTGTCTGCGTAGATTTCCTCCGGGTGCTCCGGTTTCCCCTACCACTAAAAATATGTACAATAGGTCTGGCATGCGCCTCCTGTTCGGCGACCCCGCTCCCATCTCTGTGCGGAGTGAGAGGACAAGTGCCCAAAAAAATAACAATTGTAAACTGCTTTGTGACTCTGGTCTGTGAAAGGTGGTAAATAAATAAAGATTATTTACTTACTTACTTACTATCATACAAAGCATTAAAATCATAAATGATCACAGTACATCATAAAAGTGAAGACATGGTCCTTCAGTTGTATCACAGCTAAACAGAACTGTTTATTGACTTGGATTTGAACATTGTCAGAGCCCTGTGAGTCTGTGTGACATTTTCAGGAAGACTGTTCCAGATTTTAATAATGAATAACGGTTCTCAAAATCTATTTTTAGAATAAGAACTGAAAATGTTTACACATATTTTTTTATGTTTTGAAGTCAGTGTTAAAAATAATACTAGTTGTATCCTGTATTTTCCAATTTGATTGCTTGATATTGAATTGTTTCTGCCTTCTACAAGACACTGTAATAATTCCTGGTCAGCGTCAATACAAGGTCAGCTGTGCATCATTCAATAAAAACACACAAAATAGTAAATGAAAACATTGCACAGCCTCCTCACAGGGCTCAGAGAGGTGGCTCCCTGTCGCTCAATGAGGTAATGGAGAAACCCACTATGACAGCTGCCTTATAAATGACAACATACAGGCTAAAGCAGGATCACCAGGCAAATCTGGACTGACAACAATATCAGTGATGCCATCCTATGAAAAGACAGCATTTACATTCAAAACAAGACTTGCCTTGTCCAAACGTGTCACGCCACTTCATGTCCAGTCAACGTTTAAGCAGATGAGATCATGCAGGGGGAATAGCGAACATGTCGGTGAACATTAGCTGCTATCGTCGGGCCATTATTTAAGCAGGAGCGTTGACATTGACTGTGAAGGGGAGACAAAAAGCCTTCGACAGATTTTAGGTGCCATCTTGAATTTATGAGGGAAGGGGGTGAGCCTGATGGAAAGGAGTTGAAAGAAAATATGAATAAATGAATACAAGTGGGAGGAAATATTATGTATATTAATAATAATAATATCAAAGAGAAATGCAGAAATTCCTGAAAAGAAATACTTTATGTTGATTTATTTTGATCTGGTTTTGTTTTTATACAAATAATTCTCTGTCCTGTTGATGTCCTGTGTCTCCATGTGTGTGTCTTCTAGACCCTGTGCCCCTGTCTTCATGTTGTCAGTTCACTGTTTTTTACCCCTTTTCTTTTCCAGTTTTTACTTTTGAATCTCTTTGAATTTCCTGGTGGCATTTATAATTATTATGCTAATTACGTTGCTTTTGGGTCTCCCTTGTTTTATCTTGTGTGAATGTGTCTATATACTTCCCTGGTGCTAGGGCTGCACAATGTTATATACAAAACTTTGTGATAGTGTTGTCAAGGTCTGCGATAATTATATATTGCAATATTTTCCATCCCTCAAAGAAATAAATATGCATGTTGCAATGTTTTATCAGTGTTTTTCTCCTCTCTTTTATCGCCATGTTGTGTTTTGTTCTTTCCAGCCCCCCATGAGAGTCTTTAGGAATATGGAAACGAATTAGTATTCACCATAATGGAGAAAACTACGGATGCATCGATCCAGCTTTTTTTTGTCCAATATGGATCTCAATACTGTCAATCAATTTCTGTAGATGTTCAATATGGACAGATATCAGAAATGTAAAAATTAAATCTATTCATATAATGTGTCCAATTATGTGTTTTTCCTATTAACTTTACGTTAAGACTCTTGGTATCAGCCAATATACTGTAAATATTAACGGACTTAGTCACACGTCTCTCCACCGTTCTAATTAATGTGCCACAACTTCCGCGGTCTATGGGCAGTTTCAAAATGGCCGCGGGGGCTGGAAAATGTGAAAAAACTAATCTGTGCATGCGTCAGCAGCACGAGCCCCATTCATTTAACGAGTGACTTCAAAAATTCACAGCAACTAAACTAGAGTGGTCCAAAAAAATTCACCCCCCTCAGCATTGACACACATGTGGAACGGAGCTTTGAGCCAAGAGCCAACTATTGGACCATCCTGTAAAGACGTTTTCGAGAGTTAAGAAGATGCTATATGGTAGCATTGGCTAATTCTTATTCCGGGTCCACCCCCATCGGCCATCCCGGGCCGATGGGGGCCGATGGGGATGCAAGCATGTCAGCGCACGTCATTTTTGCCACTTTTGAGCCGGAACACGCTCCCACTGCCCGGCACCGATATTTGATACCACTGTATCAATGCCTCCTACAACTATATTTTACCATATTGTGCAGCCCTACATGGAGCCATTCACCTCTGAGACAACTCCCACAGCTGATCCTGGAACATCTTGATAATGACTTTGCTGAGAAAAATGCTTTTACAATCAGGAACACATAATGTATTTACAAAACATACTTAGACAACACCAGTAGAATCAGCAAGCCTTTCCACTGCACAACTTTGAATTAATATAACTTTTACAAATTAACAAATTGCTTTAGCTTCTTATTCTTTATTCTTATTGAAATGTCCCTTTGGGTATTTCTGTTTGGCAGAGGGAGCGTTCCAGTTTCTCAAGTTGTGATTTGGAAGCGCTTCCCTTTGGCGCCCTCCTCTCTTGATTTTGTCTTTAGCCGATGCCACCCACAGTTTCCTAATGAATTCCTCTTATCACAACTTTCACAAAGAAGACGCTTGGACCTGATTTCACACATGCGTCATCAGTGCTGTTCAAATGCAGCCACCGTGACGTATTGGCACCATCATTTGCAGCGTTTTTTGAATCCTAATTTGTTGTGTATTAAAACGCACAGGATGTGGGAGTTTGAATGGGGAGTCTATTGCCCACAGCTTCCATATTATAATGAGTGATACAGACCTTGTTGTGGTGCAGCCAATGCCACTGGTCTGGTGCCAGAGG